CCCTTTGCTGCCAAAGCGACTCCGGTGGCCACAGTCTAGCTGCTCTCTACCAGCCAAGTTATAGTTTCTTCTTTTTTTGATTTGAGTGGATTATGGCCTTTATTATTTTTCCCAATTTAAAATGAATATGAAATCAATATGGTGGGCAAGGCTAGATTTTCCATCGGGAAAACTACACAGAGAAAGAGGATAAATCATGATTGTCTTAATTCGTACTTAAGATGAATGGGAAAAAAAAAGAAAGCTCTCTCTCTATATTTTTAAAAAATAGTTATTTTGAGATAGTTTCCATGAATACCTAGTTTACTGAGAGTTTTTAGCATGAAGGATGTTGAATTTTATTGAAGACCTTTTCTGCATCTATTGAGATAATCATGTGGTTTTTGTCTTTGGTTCTGTTTATGTGATGGATTACATTTATTGATTTGCATATGTTGAATCAGCCTTGCATCGCAGGGATGAAACCAACTTGATCGCAATGAATAAGCTTTTTGATGTGCTGCTGGATTCGGTTTGCCAGTATTTTATTGAGGATTTTCACATTGATGTTCATCAGTAATATTAGCCTGAAATTTTTTTTTTTTTGTTGTTGTGTCTCTGCCAGGTTTTGGTATCAAGATGATGCTGGTCTCATAAAATGAGTTAGGGAGGAGTCCCTCTTTTTCTATTGTTTGGAATAGTTTCAGAAGGAATGGTACCAGCTCCTCTTTGTACCTTTGGTAGAATTCGGCTGTGAATCCATCTGGTCCTGGGGTTTTTTGGTTGGTAGGCTATTAATTACTGCTTCAATTTCAGAATGTGTTATTGGTCTATTCAGGGATTCGACTTCTTCCTGGTTTAGTCTTGGGAGGATGTATATGTCCAGGAATTTATCCATTTTTTTCTAGATTTTCTAGTTTATTTGCATAGAGGTGTTTAAAGTATTCTCTGACGGTAGTTTGTATTTCTGTGGGATCAGTGGTGATGTCCACTTTATCACTCTTTATTGTGTCTATTTGATTCTTCTCTCTTTTCTTCTTTATTAGTCGGGCTAGTGGTCTATCTATATTGTTAATCTTTTCCAAAAAACCAGATCCTGGATTCATTGATTTTTTGAAGGGTTTTTCATGTCTCTTTCTGAACATATGAAAAAAAAGCCCATCATCACTGGTTATTAGAGAAATGCAAATCAAAACCACAATGAAATCCCATCTCACACCAGTTACAGTGAGGCTCATTAAAAAGGAAACAACAGATGTTGGAGAGGATTTGGAGAAATAGGAACGCTTTTACCTTATTGGTGGGAGTGTAAATTAGTTCAACCATTGTGGAAGACAGTGTGGCTATTCCTCAAGGATCTAGAACCAGAAATACCATTTGACCCAGCAATCCCATTACTGGGCATAAACCCAAAGGATTATGAATCGTTCTACTGTAAAGACACATGCACATGTATGTTTATTGCAGCACTGTTCACAACAGCAAAGACTTGGAACCAACCCAAATGCCCATCAATGGTAGACTGGATAAAGAAAATGTGGCACATATACTCCATGGAATACTACACAGCTACAAAAAAGAATGAGTTCATGTCCTTTGCAGGATGAAACTGGAAATCATCATTATCAGCAAACTAACACAGGAACAGAAAACCAAACACCACATGTTCTCACTCATAAGTGGGTGTTGAACGATGAGAACACATGGACATAGGGAGGGGAGCATCACACATCAGGGCCTGTCAGGGGGTGGGGAACTAGGGGAGGAATAGCATTAGGAGAAATACCTAATGTAGATGACAGGGTGATGGGAGCAGCAAACTACCATGGCATGTGTATACCTATGTAACAAACATGCACATTCTTGCACAGGTATCCCAGAATTTAAAGTATAATAATAATAATGATAATGATAAACAAAAATTGGATGAGGTTCAGAGAACTTCTCAAATTCAACAAAAGGTGTTTCTACTCTGTTTTCTCTCTCTTCTTTCTTTGGATTTCTTGTCAATGGCAGTGACATGGCTTTGGAAAGTTAAAACTCAGCATGAAGAAGAAGGGTGCAAAAACATAGCCACAGAAAGCAATGATACCATGTTTTCTCCTGTTTCCATTATGCCTCTGAGTCCATGAATTAGAGTTGGTGAAATCTGTGTGAAGAAATCCTGCTTGCCTCTTCTAATTTATATCCAGTGAATTGACCTTCTTTGTGCCATTTTGGTTGCTTTCCTGGTCTGGGAACTCTAAGTATATTTGCTAGAAGCAGATATTAATGTGAAATTACTAAGTAATATGACAAAGGAGGAGGTTGTGTTGATGCCATAGATAAGATCAATGCAGATGGACCAGGCCAAATAGAAATGTTAATTACTTTAAAAAATGTATTACAAGGCAGCTGTGGGGTGTAGAGAACAGTTCACACCCTAGTCTCCAAGGTCCTATATATATCTCAACTTCATTTTTCTCACACAAGATCCAGTTATTCCAAACTAAAATTGTGTCCCCAGTGATATGGACATGCCCACAGAAGCACAGTAGTAACGAGGCCATTTATATGCACACAATTGAGAGAAAAGGTTATTTCCCAGGGGAAGTTATCTACTTTATTTAACACTCCTTTTGTGGTATATGTTCTTGGATTATAGCATTTATATTTAAATACACCCAGTTCCAACAAAAACTCCCACTTTACTCAGAAGAGCAGAGTGACAGTGAATCTGACTGGTCTCACAATGGATCTCTGAGATTGTCTAGAGGTGTGTGTGTGTGTGTGTGTGTGTGTACATGTGTTCACCCATATGAAGTTACTGACATATAAAACAGATGGAGGTGAATCATACACCAAGGACCTTGAACCTTGACTTCTGTCAGCAGATATGGCTGGAACTTTGCAATAAATCAACAAAAGTTTCTTGCCAAAATATATCTTTGCCCATCAAAAATAAAAGTAAAATACTTCTTAATTTTGGATTAATTTTTAAGAGAGAGTTCTAGTAATAAGACTAGATTGAAAATCTTGGAAGGATGCTAATACACAAAGCAAAAAGAAGACATAGTAAGAAATGTATTACAAAGTAACCAAATGAATGGCCCATTCTGCCCTTCCTGTTTAAAGGGACAGTATTTTGTTTTTTGCAGGTGAAATTCAAGATCTAGAATTCAAGATATAGATTCTATTATATTCAGGCTGCTTTTTCACGTGGGGGTTAAAGTATTGGGTTGTGAGTCAAACTAAACTAAACCATTTTGAGTTTGGCTGCTGTTCATTTCTAATTTTTCCTGACCTTCCTTTTCTTGGCAGTCTTAGGACTCTAATATCTTGTCTTCTGGCTATGACAACACAGCATATGGTTTGCTTGAAGATTTGTGTTCAACACTTATCCATTAACCTGACAGCAGGAAGTGCTAAAGAGCAGAAACAGGAGTCGGTCTCAGAAACCTCAAGTCCAAGGCAAACATGCTTGCTCCTAAAAGACACACTTGATCTTCAAGTCCAGGAAAGCCAGATACAAAGGCAACTACTAACATTTCTCCCTTATGATTATGATTTTGGGACATTCTTTCAGTAAGCTATTTCATCAGTAATTATATTATTAATATATGATTTTTTCCTTTATAGAACAGAAATCACACACACACACCCCCAAAGAGAAGTTCAACACAAGGAATTAAAACAAGAAATTACGGAATTATTGTTTAGATAGGGTTTAGGAATAATGTTTTGGTTTTGTGATAAATCCTAAGTAGTACTTCACTTGCCTTTATGTTTTTTATAAGTAATTCCCAAGAAAATCTGCCCTGCCATCTTCCAAATGTGACAGTTACCTGGAGGGAATTTATCAGTAACCAATGCTTCTATCAAAAATCTGTGAAAAAATAACTGTTGTGCTGTTGAATATTTTCTACATAATGACTAATATAGTTGTAAGAATCTTTGTAAACCAGTGAGAAATCATGATAACTGAAGCTCACAAGGATGTTCAAGATTCTAGATTAATCTGTATCCATCAATCTACTCAGATTTTAGCTTGGGCTTCTTCATTTCTACCCTATTAAATTCCCTTTGCCATCTTCCTTCTCTTTTCTGTCGTGTTTTGAAAGAAAGCCTGCACGTGTTAGTGCAACACAATTAGTGGGAATAAGATTCTTCCAGTAGTACAGATCAACATGCTTTTTCTTTTCAAAACTGTCAAAGACTCATTTAAAAAATTACACTAAACCCACCATTACCACCAAAGTAGCTTATGCATGTTTTGGATTGCACAGACTAGAAACTATATTCCTTCCCTTCTGGAATCTCTGTCTCATCTCTCCTGTTTGATATTCCAGCTCATTGGCTTATGAACCCCCTACCAGGGCAGGTTCTGTTTCCATTCATTATTTGTTCATGCATGCATTTGAAAAACATTTCTTGAATGCACTTGCCAATAATAGGGGATTTATGTGACTTTTAATCTAATGCCCATACAAGGTGCACATTCTTATTTTGTAGATGAGAAACTGGGACTAAAATTAACTTGCTAGACCAATTCTGTATGATACAAAAGCTTGTGCTTGTTCCTCTACATTATGCAAGACAGAAGGCAATGGATGATTAACTATCGTTTCCACATTTTGTGCTAACATGACCCTCCACTGGCTTAAAACATAGAAAGTTGCCATCCTTCCAGGCAGGACCAACTCAGGGAAGGAAATGAATACATCTGTTTACTTGCCAAATGTGCTCTTTTGGAAAAAAAAATGAAGTTATACAAATATTTTCCATTCCATTAACTTATGTGATCTAGAGACTAATGAACATAAAATGAATTTTTGCTTTTGGGGCTATTTGTCTTTTCATTAGCTAAAACATTATGACAAACTTCATCTGTGACATAAACAAACCTGAGCTATTTTAAAGTCCAGAAAATGTGAAGCTAGTGCTGAATTTCAGTAGAAGACTAATTTTTATAACTGTCTGCCTCTTTGCAGCAGGCATCTTCTCTATTTGGTTTCCATTTCGAAATCATGAAATGAACGTACCGTCCTGACCTCCAGCCATCTGTTGGCAGCTGAGAGAAATAAGTAGGCAATGTTGTTTGTATCTGTCAGTTCCAGCATACGTTGTTTAAATCTGGTTTCATGCCTGCAGAAAACAAAAATGATACAATGTTAGCCACACAACAGGAGAGGGAATAAAGAACAGTCACACTTACTACTACACTATTTACTCAACAGAGTGACAAACTAATGGCATGGAATGATCAGTAAATAGGTTTCTGCTTCAAAATAAAGACCAGCTGCTACTGATCTTTGCATTCTTAGTAGAGATGGTGTGATCAAGTGTTTATTTCCTTTCTTACACGCTTACTAAAAAAAAAGTCCTTCTAATACAACATTGCATTAAAAATCAGTTCATGCATTTCCACATAATTATTGTAGCCATGAGAACAAGGCATAGCCTACTACATTAAAAAAGCCTTACAAAAACCAAGATAAATTGTATAGAAATGCAACTCTACTGACTTTTTGTGGAATTTATTTTACTTTTCCAAACAACAGAGTTAGAGTTCGGTGGGAGGTGCTGGATCAGAACCAGCAAAGGCAGAAAACTATGCCCTTGCAATTGGCAAAAATGTACTTTAAAAATTCTCTTTTTGCCTAATGTTTCTGGGAACCAAAGGAAAAAAACTCGGGTGGTGACAAGTAGAGGATGGGGGACACTAGAGATGATGGGAAATATTCTTGTTAAATATCTACACCCCCAAATTCTAAAGTATGTGTAAGGATGGTCATTGCATAAAAGGAATTTGGTCTGTGTACTTTCAGGTTTTATGATATATATAGTTTAGATATTGATCTTCAACAAGTTAAGTTAATTATTGTTGTACAATAAAATCACACCAAAATTCTGCGTAACTTATTTTATACATGAAACTGTCACTAAAAGCCTTATCCGTGTAAACATCTGAACCACTATCTCAAAGAAATTCTATCAATATGCTAAAAAACTTCTCTAAATCACAAAAATAGTCTCGTTTCATTTCTCAATTATTTTCCCTGAATAACAAAAACAATGGAAGGCTGGATAATACAATAAAAATAACTGGTTTGAAGGTGGGGAAATATCAAATTAAAATGTGATTTATTTACTCTGCAGCCAAAGCTTGTCTTATAGAGACCTCCCATCTATGGGTTATGTTTGCAAGAAATAAACAAACTTCATCTGACAAAACGGCAGTGATTCCTTCTTGATAAAAGACTTCCCCGATGCCCCCTCCCAATTTTCAATTAAAATTGTAAAATTTTATAATTAATCATCACATGTCAAAGAATGAAGACATCCTGGGTGGGGTGTCCACTTGGCCCAATGAAGTGATCCATACAGGCCAATATAAAGCAGACACTTGATATCTATCCAATCAATCTGATCATTACAATATGTCAAAAAAGATAGATAATTCAGTCAGACAGTAAGATCTTATCTACAATAATCAGAGAACTCAACAATCATAGCCAACTAATTACCTCACTTTGAGTTGAGTATCCGTGGCCCAAATGCCATGCCATGCACAGAAGGACCTGGCCTGAATGGCAACACTCTGCTGTGGCACTAAGCCGTTCAAGCTTACCCTCCAGCTGACCCTTTTAGGGATGAATATAGAAAATAACTAAAGGGCGAGGGGGACATTCAAAGGGTTACAGGATTTACTGAGACAGTGAACATGAACCATAAAGATTATCCATCTGTCTGTCTATCATCTATCTATCTATCATCTATTCACACACACGTAAGGCTTTTTTTTTTTTTGAGAGTCTCACTCTCACCCAGGCTGGAGTGCAGTGGCACAATCTCGGCTCACTGCAACCTCCGCCTCAGCCTCTTGAGTAGCTGGGACTACAGGCATGCACCACCATGTCCGGCTAATTTTTGTATTTTTAGTAGAGGCAGGGTTTCACCATGTTGGCCAGGCTGGTCTCAAACTCCTGGCCTCAGGTGATCCACCCACCTCAGCTCATTCTTTTTGTACTTGCTAGGTACGTGTTTGGCAGATTTTCATCCATTCATTCAGAAGCATTTAGCAATCATCAACTCTAGACATTATGCTAGACACTAAGGATATAGGAACAAGACATGACCTACTCCCTTGAAGGGTCAACTGTCTAGTGAAGGGAGGAAACACAGTATTAACAAGTAAAAATGGTGCAACACACTATCTAGCTATAAGGACTGTAAGCACAAAATGCTACATGAACATAAGGAACAGCAAGATTTGCAACAACCAGATGATCAGCAAGGTAGGAAATGGAGTGAAGGGTGGAGAGAGAGGAAGAGTAAGCAAGGTGTCACAAAGGACAAGGAAGATAGTCTGAGTGAGGTTTTAAGGGGTAAGTAGAATGTTTTTGGTGAACAAGGCATTCTAAGTGGCGGGAAAAATATGAGCAAAGGCGCAGAAATGAGAAGGCGCTACATGTTCTGGGTCTTGAGACAGGTTCTTCTCTCTAGAGGACTGAGTGACAGAGAGATTGGAGATGAGGCCAGGTGGACCAAAGCCAGTGGACTACATTTGAGATGAACCTCAAACACTTGATACTGACAAACTGCTTTATCTGGGACACTTTTGACTCTTCCTCTAGTTTTGTGATGTTGTTTAAGATCCACTCTTAAAAGAGTTTGTAAATGGAGTTGGCAGCAGTCTGAGGCAGCAGTAAGAGGGGAGGGGTGGAAATGCAGTGAACATTCCTTCTGCTGTTTCTATTTGGCAAGAAACCTTCTGTTTTCCTAATGGAAACTTTGACACACTCAGCCTGTATCTTTTCATCCATATCCAGCTCATCTTCTGAACATTCTTAGACCTTTATTCTGTCAGACAAGAAAAAAATAGGAAAGGTCACTAAAATCTCAGTCTAATTTAACTATGATGCTTTCGTGGTAAAGTACTTGAGGGAGTTCACTGCTTTGTGTGAGTACATCACGAACCCTCAATGCAGGGGAGGGAAAGCAGCCTCGTCAGTAAGTACTAACTTTCCAAAGAGCTCAAGACTCTGGGGTCTCCAGATAGTTTGAAAAAAAAAAAAGAACAGACGGATGAAAAAAGACACTTTTGATTCCTGACCACACACACCAAACATAAAGATTCTAGAATTTCATCCATGACAGCAAGGCCATCTGCACATTTTCAAGATTTCTTTTGGTTTTAAAAATGCTGATATTTATGATATTTAAAAATGATTTACATCACTAATCATCAGGGAAATGCAAATTAAAACCACAATAAGACACTACCTTACCCCTGCAAGAATGGCCATAGTTTAAATAATAAAAAAAATTAGCTGTTGATGTGGTGAGTAGGGAACATGTTTACATTGCTAGTGGCAATGTAAACTAGTGCAACCACTATGGAAAATGGTATGTAGATTCCCTAACAAACTAGAAGTAGAACTGCTATTTGATCCAGCAATCCTACTACTGGGTATGTACCCAGAGGAAAAGAAGTCATTATATGAAACAGACACTTGCACACACATGTTTATAGCAGCACAATTTGCAATTGCAAAAATATGAAACTAGCCTAAATACCCATCAACCAATGGGTGGATAAAGAAAATGTGGTATAAATACACCATGGAATATTACTCAGCCATAACAAGGAATGAAATAACGGCATTCTCAGTTAACTGGATGGAATTGTTGACCATTAATCTAAAAGAAGTAACTCAGGAATGGAAAACCAAATATCATATGCTCTCAGTTATAAGTGGGAGCTAAACTATGACGATGCAAAGGCATAAGAATGATATAATGGACTTTGGGGACTTGAGGGGACAGGTGGAAGAGGGGTGAGGGATGAAAGACTACACATTAGGTACAGTGTACACTACTCAGGTGACAGGTGCACCACAATCTCAGAAGTTATCTCTAAAGAACTTATTCATGTTACAATAAAAAACTTACTGAAATAAAATAAAATAAAACATTAAGAAACAGACTCTGGAACATCTAAACCTGGATTAGTATCATGCAGGTACTTCCAGATAGAAGTTGAGTTGTCTTTTCTTTCTTCCAAGTATAATTCAAGCATTGACATTTAACATACTATTTTGTTCTACTTACAGCTACCTAGAAGTTTTCCTCATGTAAAATTAAGGATAGTAATGCTACATTATGCTCATCATGTGTCTAGGGAGGAAGGTAAATGAAAAATCTGTATCTTGACTCTTGGTCAATTTCCTCTTTTATTCTAAATCTTCCTCATTCCCATCACGATGCTCTGCCTTGTTCTCATCCCCATCCCTCTCAGAAGATGACCTCCCCTGTCCTTCAAGGAGAAAACAGAGGCTGTTATATGTTGAACTCATCGACTTTCTGTTGTTTCACCTGCCAGTTTTTCTGAATCTATTCAGATCCTTTTCTTACCTTCATAGAGGAGCTATGTACCAAATACTCTTCAAGCTAAACTGTTCTTCACACTTGAGCATGTAGCATATTGCTGCTAATCTGCTGTAATAATCTTCTCCGTTAACTGCCCCATCCTGCCTCTATCTCCACTTCTTCCCTTCAGTCTTTGAAAATGTCTAGTTCATTACCCTCTTAAAAAAAAAGACAATAGTAAAAAAAACTTCTTTTAGTTAGCTCTCCTGAACTTCCCACCTCAGAAAAACTCCTTGAAAGAGTAGTTTTTCCTTGCCATGTCAATGTTCTGATTTCTAATTAATTTTTTAACCCTCTGAATTTTGCTTTCAATCCTCTCCACTTTATCATTACTGTTCTTGCTAAGGTTACCAATGGCTTCATGGTTGCCATATCCAATGGACACTTTTAATTCTTTTTTATTTTCTTTTATGTTGTTATTACTATTGACCATTCAGTTTCTCTTTAAAATGCTCACTTGATTAGCTCCAATGACACCTTACCATCCTGATTTTTTTGCCTACTACTTAGATGGCTTATTTTCTCAACTGGTCTGATTTCCTCTCCCTTACTGGGAAGATGGGCTCTGCCCTACTAAGCATTAACATTTGTCACTTATATGTAATTGAAGTCTTGGAAGGAAGTGGACAAGACTGAATGAAGTGCATTACAGTGGTGTTGCCTAGGGTAATATGATCCAACATAGGTAGAAGAGTCCCTTTGGCTTCCCAGACCTGTCCTTGACTTAGATAGAGCTGCCACAGGTAATGGTTTGCTTGCCAGAAGGTGTCATTTGGATAAAGGGCTATCAAAAATCTCAGCTGACCACTTGAGGGCTTTTAATGGCCTCCAGGGAGGCAAAGTGCTTGAGTGCTGGCCTCTCTTATCTGGATGTATATACATCCAGAAGGATAAAAGAGGGGCTGAAAATGTTATATATATAAATGACATATACATATAGTATATATAACATTTTATACACACAAACACACAGAGGAGAGGGCCCAGTGAATTGACCTTTTCCATCATTAACTTCTCACTCATAGGATAGTTGATCTTTACAGGAACTAACTTGCTAAAACAGTAGACACAAGATCAAGATTGCCAAGACGTGGATCCTCCTTCCATGAAGAAGGCATCAGTTTGGATTTGATGGCATCAGCTTGTCCTTTGTTGGGGTTGGCCAGGAGCAGGAGGAGATCAATAGGATTTTTATTAGAAGACTGAGATCATGACAAGGGGCAACATCAACCCTTCCCCTTTCCTGAGGAAGCTGACTTGAAACAATTCAAACAGCTTGTCCAAATTAGGAGGTCTGGAAGCAGATAGATGTTGAAGTAAAGAGCCATGGAAATATTAGTAGAAGTAGTAGATTGAGCAACAAAGTGTCCTTTAATTTATTTGCAAAACATTTGGACATCCACTATATGACTGACTCTGTTAATATTCTAAAGATTAAGATGAAAGACACTACTCTTAAGTAGCTCCCAATCTTGTAGAGGAATGCAAACGCACAGTTGATTATGATGCAGTGTGCTAAGTTTAGGGTGTAACTCAACTTATCGGAAGGTTATCGGCCTTACATTCTAACTTTCATGGAAGGCTTCCTGCAGTAGATGATAATTATGGACTGATATTTCAGCAATAATATAGGCACTGGTTAGCCACATATAAAAGGATATTGGGAGGGACAAGTAATATAACCAATCTGAATCTTAACCTAAGAGGACCAGCTTTGTTTAATGAGGGAGCAATTGTCAGATCATAATTTCCATAGGATCTTTTTTATCTACTTGTTCTTTAAGTGCTAGTGGTCTGAAGTTTTTGTGCAAGCTTCTCTTTTCTTAATCTACACCCTCTCTCTCAGCGATCAAATCCATGGCCAAAACTTTATCCATAAAAGAATGATACTCAAACCTGTTATCTTCTGCCCTTAGATATCCCTTAGACACCAGACCTATATTCCCAAAAGACCATTAAAAAAGTCCAGCTGGATATCTCATTACAACCTACACCTGTGCATAACCAGACTCAACAACTCCTTCTCCAATCCTCCACATCATCTTCAATTTCCTAACTTGGAAAATTACCTACTTATGGGAATCAGAAACTTAGAAGGAATCATCTTCGACTTTTTCCTCAACCTTATGCTTAACATTCAACCTTATGCTAAATCTCATTGGTCCCACTTCCTAAATACTACTTAATTTGTGCTTTCTCTCCTGGTCCTTAGTTCCTTAGCCTGCCTTTGTAATCTCTCACGTGGACCACTGCAACACTCTACTGGAGTCTCCTTGCCTTGAATGTTATCCATCCCCAGTTCATAGTAGAATCCCAGAGTTATAGTGATGAACACAACTATGATCATACCACTTTGCTGTTCAATATTCTTCAGTGACTACCTCACATTGAAAGAATCCAGTCTAAGTTATTTAAAGGTACTTATTCAATGCCCTTTATGTACTGGTGTCTGCTATGGTTTCAAAACTCATCCCCATAGCCACCTTCTCTGTACTTAATCTATGTTCCAACAATACTGGACACTTTTGACTTTCATATAAAATAAAAAGCTTCATGTTTTCACATATCTGTTACATCTTCTTTGAATATTCAATCTCCTTTATCTGCCAGGTCAATTATTCATCATTGAACGATTTGTTGTTCAATAATTATCTCCCCATTCTTTCTAGACAGAGTGCTACCCTGCTCTCTGACACAGTTGTTTCTTGTGATACATATATTAGACTATGTATCCTGCTGTGTTGCTATTTTTTTTCTTGTGTTGCTGTGTGAGCTCCTTAACACACTCCTTGCTAACTACTTAGACAATATATATTTATTGAGCACTTACTTAGTCCCAGGCACTTTTCCCAGCGAATGGTGCTACAACAGTGGAAGAAAAAAAGAGCAGAGGGTGGGGGGATCTGATATAACTTACATTCCAGCTGGAAAGGACAGATAACTTGTCAACAAATAAAGATAATTTAAAATACTCAGATAAATACCACAAAGGAGATAGAAAGGATAACATGGCAGGTGTATGTGGAGAGATTGTGGGGAGGGTGGGCAGCGGTGCCACTTTTTGCTGGTTGGAAATGAAAGGCCAGGTCTTTATAGTCTTTATATATATCACACTGAAAGAACAGTATCTGGCATATGTTCAGTACTCAAATAAATATTTCTTAAATAAGGTGAATTGAAAGTACTTATTTGGCGAAAAAAGTAATCTTTAATATAGTATACTTACTAATACCACTGATCATTGCTGGCTATTATTAGAAAATAAATTTCATGTTAATATCTACATTCAATGCCAATAAGTAGTTTTGACATCTCCAATAAAAGGGATTGCACATTATGATGAAAAAACATACCAGTGCAGAAAGTGTGAATGCTTCATGAGGCCACCTACATAGATTACGTACACATGCTGTGGAATATAATATTGTGGATAGTTGTCTCTTTATATTCTATGCTGTGACCCAATTCTATATTTAAAAGTAGGTTTCTTAGGTTAGAAAACTCTCTGGTTAAAATCTCTATATACTTGCAATCAGGATTTCAGAAAACTATGACACAAAAATATCACTTTTCTAGATTAAATGAAATATTCAGTATTACTACTTTCTTTTCTAATCTTACTTGAACAGGAAAATTGGGATAGGTAATTTTTTGAAAGAAAACACTCAATCAAAAATTTAGGATATTATTCTGTTTACAAACCTTGAAGAAAAAGGATTAAATTCTGAAACAACTTTGGTGTAATAGTATTCCTTTTATGAAGACTATTATTACTATTATTACTTATAAATTTAACTTGTTTCTTGGATTCTTCTTCAATAGTCAATGTGGTTCATGCTTTGCAGGCATAATATTAGTCCAGTGACTCTAAGGAGCGAGATGACTTTCTCCATTTAATAGATGAGGAAACCAAGGTTAGGGAATTTAAAAGCCTTATCTAAGTCATACTGCTAGTATTTTTCCAAACTGTTTGCTTCATCCTTTATTATAGTTAGCATTTTGGATGAGCAAACTCTAACTCTAATCATTTAAACCACATTTTTCTTATTCCTGGTTTAGCACTGTCAGGCACACAATGGGGAGATCAAACAAAATGAAAGCAATGATCAGTTATTTGTAGAAAAACATTTGTTGATGATGCACTTGCCTAATCAGCTATAAAAATGTGTTTACTTACCTAAAGGCCCGAATGGTGGTGAGTCCTTCTGCTGTTTCTGAGAAGTGACAGAGCAGAGGGAGCTGGGTACTATCGTCAAGTTCCTGGAGGTCCCTAGGAAAGAGAGATGGGCAAAAATAAACTTCATGTGCATCCAGACTCAAAGACCACCATGTTTATTCTTTAAAAGCAGGTTATTTTGTCATTTATTTGTTTTCTTCATTAAAATTATTCTCCCCTAGCACTCAGTTAACAAAAAGCTCAACAGCTTACAATCTAAAGAGAAAGAGAAAGATGGGTACATGATGAATACAGGTAGAAGCTGAACAAAACGTGTTGAATAAAACTATCAGCTCTGGGTAACACCTAAAGTAAACTGCTACAGGACTCATGGAATGAGCATTTAATTCATACCTAGGATGTGGGTGGGATTTTCCTTAAGCAGATGGAATTTAGGTGAAACCTTAAGCTTGATGAAGACTTCAACAAAATAGACAAGAAGGAGCCTAACAAGAACAGGCACTGGTGCCTGAAGAATCTTGCAAGTTCAATCTGTCTGATGCCCAGAGTCCTTTAGGGCTGTTGTAGTGGGAAGAGGCTATGTAAAGGATATGGCCTTGTAAGAGTGACAGTGGATTATAGAAACATCCTTAATGGGCTTAAGAAAAGATCACTGAAGGCTAGAAATAAGGTAATCTGGCTGGGTGCAGTGGCTCATGACTGTAATCCCAACACTTTGAGAGGCTGAGGCAGGTGGATCACTTGAGGCCAGGAATTTGAGACCAGCTTGGCCAACATGGTGCAACCCCATCTCTACCAAAAAATTAGCCAGGCGTGGTGGTGCACACCTGTAATCCCAGCTACTCAGGAGGCTGAGGCAAGAGAATCACTTGAACCCAGGAGGCAGAGGTTGCAGTGAGCCGAGATTGCTCCACTACACTCCAGTCTGGGTGACAAAGCATGACGCTGTCTCAAAAATAAAAAATAAATAAAGTAACTGGAGCTGTCTTTTAATCTTTTAATCAGCATAACTTGGGAGAGAATGCACCAGGTGAAAGAGAATGGGTGAGTGAGGAAGATCAGTTAATATAGTCCATATGAGAGGATTTTTTAAAAGTTCAGAACTAGTGTGATGCTGGTAAAGTTTAAAATAAGAAGTATGGAAATGTGAGACAGTCAGAAGAAGCCCTATTTGCTGCAATCATCAATTAGTTTTCAGTGGATAAATAAGAGTCACATATAGCTTGACTATTTCTAGTTTAGCAGACTTGAAAAATGACAGTGCTGTTTACCAGAGTGGTAGTAAAAAGCACAGAAAGAAGATACTTGGAGAGAAAAGATAATGAGTTTAGTTTGGGCCGCAATGAGTTTGAATCCTTGCTTTCATGGAACTTCTATTCATAGTTTCTCTATGGAACTACAGGTACATAAAACTACAGGTAAAGGAACTTCCATTCACAGTTTCTCTATAGAACTACAGCTACATGAATGAATGGAAATGCCTGAATCTGACCCTTTTGATAAAGATACATACTCAAGACAACTTTTTTTAAACCATATGAGCTAGCATTTCTAGAAGACAGGCTAAGAGTTATACCACATGTTTCAAAGCATTCCATATTTTATTTCTCAGACCCTTTTTCCTATCCTTCTCTTGGTTTTGGGGGTTGAGAAGGTTAGAGATGTAGCGCTGGCATTCACCTGCGAGGGTCAACTGAACTGATGAACATGGTTCCATAATCTTCAACAATTAACTTAGGTCACTCCTGGCTGCCAGTGTAGTCTAGTCCCACAGACAAATGCAAGTCTTTTCAAAGTGGAGTTTCTAAAATGTATTTCCTCATTCAGAATTTTCACATGGGGTTTGGGGGGAGAGAAAGATAGAAGGAAGTGGAAGAAGGAATATGAAGGAATGTGAATAGTCTGTTATTTTTAAACATAAAACCAAGTGGCTGTTTGTATATCTGACACAAACAACAGGTGGTCACTACATTGAGGGTTGGACTGAAGGAATCAAACTGTGGAAGGAGGAACTTTTGTTTATAAAACTCTGTTTGATAAAACCAAAGAGGTGAGTGCATAGCATGATCTTGTATTCTTGCAAGAAGGAAACACTTACTTACAAAGCTAAGCATAAATTAGTTCCTTGATATTAAATATTTAAGTTTTCATAGCATTTCCTGTAGCTAGTTCCCCACTTAAGTTCTCTTTAGTATATACAAAAATAGTATGTTAAGCGGCCTGAGCTTTTCAACATGAGTGAGTTCTAAAGAACCTCAACATCCAGAAGGATCCTTGTCTGTGAGGTTCAGTATCACATGGTTATATTTGCTTTCAGATAATTTCAAAAACAATAGTGTACAATCCATTGTCAGTATTAATTCTTTAAAATAATCATCCTCTCCATACTTTAGTCTCTAACAGATTAGTCGCACTGATGATGAACAGAATTCACAATTCAAATTTGTACTGGACTAGAAATACTTCCTAAACTTTGCACTCCTTTGTACTGCTAATGGGCAATAACAGGCCCAAATGAGTATGTGATTGAAGTAAGAAATGACTGATGTCAGTGTTAAGAAGGCAAGGACAGATTTGGGAACAGTTAGCAGTAGCTAAATAACTCTGAACTTCTTTGCTCCTGGAGCAAGTAGGTCAGCAAATAGTATCAGAAGAAATGAAATGTGAATTTGATTCCTAGCTTCTCCCTTTTGGTCAGAATTTGCTGCAAACAAAGAGGATGAGTCTAGGGATGAAAAAACAGACTAAATATGGATCCCTGGCATTTAAAGGACTCTAATTCATAGCTAAGAGGGAGAAACAACTATTTCTTTAAATTATGAAATATCATGTGATATGTTCTGAGGTTCCCAACTACAATTCTTCTTTTCTTATCTTCTCCTACTGTCTTTCATCTTCTCTGCACTCAGGTCATGTTAACATTTTCAATTTCCTGAATAAACTGAATACCTACCTTCTTATTCTAGCACTTAATCCACATATTAAGATTACTTTGTATATGTTTTATACATATACATTCCTAAGAGACTATACCTTTCTTGAGAACAGGTCCTTGTCATATTGATCTCCTCATCTGTCACATGGCTTAACACAGTTATTTGCAACACAATGAGTGCTTAGTATTTGTTGAAATAACATAAACTTTACTATACTATTTAAAGCAGGATTTCAAAGTTAAACTGGAAATTTTAAAACAACTGGTATTATATTTCATTTAATCAACATCTCGGCAAATGGCAAATCCTAAATGAATAATTTTATCCAATTTGTAGAGTATAATAATATTAAATCACTTACTCTTTGGGATTATGTTTGATTTTCTAAGTTTTCTATCAATGTCATGTTCAGAAAAAGCACCACTGAATGAAAAATTTGGCAGTCTTAGAACTTAAAACTCAATAGACTAATCCACATGTTAATATATGTCTAGGGTTAGGTAAGGCACAGATGACCACTTATAGATATAATTATAATATTAATTGATATCTGAAAGAATCATAATGTCAGGATAGATTTTTTTTTTTAGGATAGATTTTATCATGTTACAAATAGGTTGCATTTCTACATTCCACACCTTATCTTGAAATACATTAGAGCAAATGTAGATCAAGGTAAATCAAATACAATTGTCCCTATGCAGTACTGATTCCAGGATTTCCCATGGATACCAAAATCTGCAGACGCTCAAGTCCCTTGTAAAAATGGGTGGCATTTGCATATAACCTACTTATATCATCCCATATACTTTAAATCATTTCTGTGTTACCTATTGTACCTAATTCAATGGCCACATATTACACATCGTTTCATCAGTGTGTATTTAATGTAGTACTCGGCACGTGACAAATTCAAGTTTTGCTTTTTGGAACTTTGTGGAATGTTTTCTTTCCAAATATTTTTGACCCATTGTTGGCAGAACCCAGGAATAGAGAGGGCTGACTGTACATAAGCTTTTGAAAATAGCAGGACGCTATTTTACTTACTTAGAGGCAACCCGGAAGTATTTCTGGATAAAATAAAAGGCAACACCAAGGGGCAGGAGAGCAACCAAGAACACAGGAGTAGCATGAGAAATCATCCCAATGGCAGACAGGCAGAGCAGTGTTGAGCGAGTTAGAGATTCCAAGGTTGGAGGGATGTGCTATTAGGGTAGTTTGAAAGGGAAATATGATTAGCCCAATGAAAATTGGTTACAATGTAACAAAAATATCTATTTTATATTGACACTGTGTTATACAGTTAGCTACAAAAGTAGTATATAACCATGCTTGTCCTAAGCAATTCTTCATTCAATTCCCATAGTTTAGTATGTCTATCTATCTATATAAAAAATATCATTGATAGATCTACCTATCTACCTACTTATCTTGGGTATTTTATGTAAATGACACTGTACTATAAATATTATTCATTCATATGTTTGTTTACTGAACAAACAGACTGTAAATATTCCTCTGGCAGTATATACAAATCTATTTCTTTTTTTTTAAGGAAACTTTAAATAGTTAAAATTTTTTGTTTTATTCATATATATTATTGCATTTTAGGTTCTGGGGTACATGCGTAAAATATGCAGGATTGCTGTGTAGGTACATACATGGCAATGTGGTTTGCTGCCTCCATCACTGTCACCTATGTCTGGCATTTCTCCCCATGTTATCCCTCCCCAACTCCCTACCTGCCGCTGTCCCTCCCCCAGTACCCCCCAACACACCCCAGTGTGTGATGCTCCCCTCCCTGTGTCCATATGTTCTCATTGTTCAACACCTGCCTATGAGTGAGAATATGTGGTGTTTGATTTTCTGTTCTTGTGTCAGTTTGCTGAGAATGATGGTTTCCAGATTCATTCATGTCCCTATAAAGGACACGAACTCTTGTTTTTTATGCCTGCATAGTATTGCATGGTGTATATGTGCCACATTTTCCTTGTCCAGTCTATCATCTATGGGCATTGGCTGGTTCCAGGTCTTTGCTATTATAAATAGTGCCACAATGAACATACGTGTCCATGTGTCTTTATAATAGAACAATTTATAATCCTTTGGACATATACCCAGTAATGGTGTTGGTGGGTCAAATGGAATTTCTATTTCTAGGTCCGTTGCAGAATTGCCACACTGTCTTTCACAATGGATAAACTAATTTACACTCCCACCAACAGTATAAAAGTGTTCCTATTTCTCCACATCCTCTCCAGCATCTGTTGTCTCCAGATTTTTTAATGATTGCCATTCTAACTGGCGTGAGGTGGTATCTCAATGTGGTTTTGATTTGCATTTCTCTAATGACCAGTGATGATGAGCATTTTTTCATAGGTTTTTTGGTCTCATGTATGTCTTCTTTTGAAAAGTGATGTTCATATCCTTCACCCACTTTTGAATGGGTTTGTTTGTTTTTTTTCTTGTAAATCTGTTTTAGTTCTTTGCAGATTCTGGATATTAGCCCTTTGTCGGATGGGTAGACTACAAAAATGTCTTCCTATTCTGTTGGTTGCAGGTTCACTCTAATGATTGTTTCTTTTGCTGTGAAGAAGCTGTGGAGTTTAATTAGATCCTATTTTTTGTCTATTTTGGCTTTTGTTGCTTTTGGTGTTTTAGTCATGAAGTCTTTGCCTATGCCTATGTCCTGAATGGTTTTGCCTAGGTTTTCTTCTAGGGTTTTTATGGTGTTAGGTCTTATGTTTAAGTCTTTAATCCATCTGGAGTTAATTTTAGTGTAAGGTGTCAGGAACAGGTCCAGTTTCTGCTTTCTACACACTAGTAGCCAGTTTTCCAAACACCATTTATTAAACAGGGAATCCTTTCCCCATTGCTTTTTTTGTGAGGTTTGTCAAAGATCAGATGGTTGTAGATGTGTGGCATTGCCTCTGAGGCCTCTGTTCTGTTCCATTGGTCTACATCTCTGTTTTGGTACCAGTACCATGCTGTTTTGATTACTGTAGCCTTGTAGTATAGTTTGAAGTCAGGTAGCATGATGCCTCCAGCTTTGTTCTTTTTGCTTAGGATTGTCTTGGCTATGCAGGTTTTCTTTTGGTTCCATATGAAGTTTAAGGTGGTTTTTTCCAGTTCTGCGAAGAGGGTCATAGGTAGCTTGATGGGGATAGCACTGAATTTATAAATTACTTTGGGTAGTATGGCCATTTTCATAATATTGATTCTTCCTAACCGTGAACATGGAATATTTTTCCCTCTGTTTGTGTCCCCTCTTATTTCCTTGAGCAGTGGTTTTTAGTTCTCCTTGAAGAGGTCCTTTACATCCTTTGTTAGTTGTATTCCTAGGTATTTTATTCTCTTTGTAGCAATTGTGAATGGCAGTTCATTATTGAATTGGCTCTCTTTAAGTTTGTTATTGGTGTATAGGAATGCTTGTAATTTTTGCACATTGATATTGTATTCTGAGACTTTGCTGAAGTTGCTTATCAGTTTGAGAAGATTTTGGGCTGTGATGATAGGGTCTTCTAAATATACAATCATGTCATCTGCAAATAGAGACAATTTGACTTCCTCCTTTCCTAATTGAATACCTTTTATTTCTTTTTCTTGCCTGATTACTCTGGCTAGAACTTCCAATACTATATTGAATAGGAGTGGTGAGAGAGGGCATCTTTGGCTAGTGCCAGATTTCAAAGGGAATGCTTCCAGTTTTTGCCCATTCAGTATGATATTGGCTGTTGGTGTGTCATAAATAGCTTTTATTATTTTGACATTCATTCCAACGATACCGAGTTTATTGAGAATTTTTAGCATAAAGGGCTGTTGAATTTTGTCAAAGGCCTTCTCTGCATCTACTGAGATAATCATGTGGTTTTTGTCTTTGGTTCTGTTTATGTGGTGAATTACGTTTATAGATTTGCGTATGTATGTTGAACCAGCCTTGCATCCCTGGGATGAAGCCTACTTGATCGTGATGGATAAGCTTTTTGATGTGGAATTGCAATTGGTTTGCTAGTATTTTATTGAAGATTTTTGCATCTATGTTCATCATGGATATTGGCCTGAAGTTTTCTTTTCTTGTTGAGTCTCTGCCGGGTTTTGGTATCAGGATGATGTTGGTCTCATAAAATGATTTGGGAAGGATTCCCTCTTTTTGTATTGTTTGGAATAGCTTCAGAAGGAATGGTACCAGCTCCTCTTTGTATGTCTGGTAGATATACAACTGTGACCCCATCTAGACCTAGACTTTTTTTGGTTTGTAAGCTATTAATGCTGCATTGACATCAGCCCTTGTTATTGATCTATTCAGGGTTTTTACTTCTTCCTGGTTTAGGCTTGGGAGGGTGAAAGTGTCCAGGAATTTATCCATTTCTTCCAGGTTTATTGGTATATGCATAGAGTTGTTTGTAGTAATCTCTGATGGTAATTTGTATTTCTGTGGAATCTGTGGTGATATCCCCTTTATCATTTTTTATTGCATCTATTTGATTATTCTCTCTTTTCTTTTTTTATTAATCTGGCTAGTGGTCTATTTTGTTGATCTTTTCAAAAAACAAGCTCCTGGATTTATTCATTTTTTGAAGGCTTTTTTGTGTCTCTATCTCCTTCAGTTCTGCTCTGATCTTAGTTGTTTCTTGTCTTCGGCTAGCCTTTGAGTTTTTTTGATCTTGCTCCTCTAGCTCTTTCATCTATTTCTTTTTAATGCTTCCATATTATTAGCTAATTTAGTAATCCCTGTACTATAATACATTTAAATTAATTATCTGTAATTGCTTCCTCATATCCTTTGGGCTTTGAGTGCATTATTTTTTCCTTATTGATTTTTAAATGCTCTATATATATTATGTTTTTTTTTTAAAAAAAAATTATTTGCCACTTTTTCCCCTATCTATTGTATTTAAATTTCTCTTCGGTGCTTTTCACTCAATAACAACTTAAAGTTTTTTATAGGCATTTCTATTGACTTTTCGGCTCAAAAGTAACCTATTTTCCTTATTGTTTTTGAGTTATTTGTCTTACTCAGAAGGACCTCTCCCACTCCAAAATTCTAAAACTATTCTCCTACATTTTACTTTATAACTTTATGTTTTAACATGACCACCTCTATGCTATATGCATTTGTTTTATATTTTGAAATAGCTAATTATCCCAATATAGTTTGTTGAAAAGTTAATCCTTTCCTTATTAAGATGCCACATTTATATTGTTACATTTCTACTACGCTGGTGTTTTTTAATTCTCCATACTGTTCTTTTGACCTACTTGCCTTCTGCAATCAAAAATTTTTAAATTTCATAATATTTAAAAAATATCTAATAGGGAAATTCTTTTTCTATATATACAGGATTGTTGTGACTTCTGGGATTGCTGAACATCTTTTCTTCACATTTATTTCTGTTTTTATAGGTTTTGTTGTTATGAATGGAGTTTGTTTTTCACTATTTTCTTAAATTGGCGTAGAAGAAATTGCTGCTTTTCATATGGTATATCTTATGTAGATATAGTGAACTGCTGAACTGCTGAACTTTCTGATTCTCTATTTTACTATTTTGAATACTCTAAGTAATAATCATGTCATCTTCTAAATAATGACTGTTTGATTTCTTCTTTTTCAACGTGTATTCCTTAGAAGGGTTTTAGGTGCAGTCTGACCAAGGTCATGAAAACATCAAAACTTCTCAACATACTCTTCAGTCAGCTGCATGCATCAAGCACTCTTTCTAAACTGAGGGCCATTTTGGTGTTCCTAATGCCACCCTGGAAAATCAGAAAAGGCAAGGGCTGGATTTGATGAATTCCTTTCTCAATCATCCAAACGGTTCCACTTTTAGAGTGATACAATTTCAGAGTTTGATATCTTCGATTTCAAGACAAACGTTCAGATACCTAAGGCTCTTAGGCTAAAGTGGACATTCTTGGAATATTTCCTAAAATATCACACCATTTGAAGCTTCAAGAACCAACTTAATAAAAGTAAAGGACTAAGACAGCTTGGAATCCCACCCTTCATTTCTGAGAGAAATTTTGCATGCACACTAAACTTTTAAGAATTTTATACTGGGAATGATGATATATTATTAATCAAAACAATTTTTAATAATAAAAAATTTTAAATGTTCAATTATGCTTTACTGTTTCTCTTTACTTCATGCTGGTTCTCTAAGTATCTTCTTCTACATATACAAATTAGTCTGAGTTAAGGTTTTCCTTTAATATTTCATTCTAGATATTATTTGCATATATAATATTGATATAAATACAAAAAGACCTTCATTTAAATTTCAGCAATTCTCTATTGTTAAGAGGAATTATGCTTTATCTTAAAATGCTATTTAGCTTACATTGTGAAACTACATTTTGAATTTGGAAGTAACCCAGTTACTACTCACCTGATCAATGATATTAGTATCAGCTGAAAAGCGATTGAGAATCAGTCCCAGGGGCGTGGTATCAAAGAACCTAGGCAATAAACAGATGAAAGTGTATGACAATACTAAACTATTTGGAACCTGGGCATTGCTAATGGGCACCTTAGTGTCATGAAAATGAGAAGCTCCCTATTCATATGTGCTCAAGGACTAAAGAAATTCTTTGAACTTTTACATTTTCACTCAAATTGAAAAATGCATGTTTTTATTATTTTATGTGTGAGAGTGAGAAATAACCAGTTTTACCTTATTGGTCCAAGAATTATCTTATTGAGAAGGTTGTGGTGAAGATTTTTGGCAGCCGTGAGACCCATCCATTCTACAGTAAGGGATGTAACAAGGCAAAGGAAAATGCCTGCTCCGCAAAGTATGCTAAAACCAGCCACATAGTAGGTCTAAAAAGCAACCAACACAAAAAGCACATAGGAAATGATGAATTTAGTTCTTTTTTACTAGAAAATCCAATGTCAACATCAGACAAGATGGTTGACTTCGTTATTGTGCATACATTTAGACAGTTCAGGAAAGCAATTTGTTGAGACCCAAGGGAGTATCCCCACCATAATCCCACAGGCAAGCCTCCACCTGCTCCCTTCACTCTCTTTCAAGGCTTGCTTAAAAGCAAATTAAGAGGGAGAGAGTTTGTTTTCAGGTTTGGGGCATATTCTTGGCTTTCTACATTGTAGAGCTCACTTTTCTCATTCCTAGTCTTAGAATGACCAGCTAATACACTGATGTAGGTAGATAACACCAAATACCATAAGAATAAATACAAAAAGGTCCTACATATGTGTATATATGTATAACATGTCTAAAAATATGTATACATAACTCCCTTGAATACAAGTCTAAACGTATTTAAATATTTCTTATGATAAACTTTAAAAGTATTAATAATAGATTCTATTTTAACATTTTAACATTTTTGATACTTTATTTCATGTCCTGTTGTAATTATTAACTTACTGAATTATCACAGAAGTCCTATGGCATTTGGGATATAAGCATCTAACTTGATAAGAAGGTGTCACTGTCAATCTCAATATTTTCTTGGTGATTTAAAAACAAAACCGAACCAATAGTACCTGATCAGCTTTTCCAGTACTGTTTATATTGTACTCTGATGTCCACGTGGCCAGCCAATAATCTATAGCTACAATGACTGAATGCTTCAGAAGCTTAGAGAAAATCATCAGGATGAGCAGGAAGAATCCTCCAGAAGTGAGGTACCGCCAGCAGGTTTTCCATGGCATTTTAGTCCTGAGCCTCATTACTGTGGACATGTTATCATCCTCATCTTCCTCCTCTTCTTCCTCTACATACAAAAAAACTTGTTTAAGCTTCAGATGGGCACCAGCTAGATACAATTTCTATTGTTCCACAAACAGTATATAAATATTCACAAATTTATAAAAAAGTAAGCATTAGGGCCAGGCGTGGTGGCTCACGCCTGTAATCCCAGAACTTTGGGAGGCTGAGGCGGGTGGATCACGAGGTCAAGAGATCAAGACCATCCTGGTCAACATGGTGAAACGCTGTCTCTACTAAAAATACAAAAAATTAGCTGGGCACAGTGGCGCATGCCTATAATTCCAGTTACTCAGGAGGCCGAGGCAGGAGAATTGCCTGAACCCAGGAGGTGGAGGTTGCAGTGAGCTGAGATCGCGTCATTGCACTCCAGCCTGGGTAGCAAGAGTGAAACTCCGTCTCAAAAAAAAAAAAAAAAAAAAAAAAAAGTAAGCATTAGTATTGAAGTTTTAAATGCTTTAAGCAGGACAAACTTCATTTCTTTCTGAAAATAGGTGAAAAATGAATGAAGGAATGAATGAATAAATGATCAAATAAACATAAAATCTATGTCTAGATGAGATAATTTGTTGATTTGCTGCACATCAAATTGACTGGAAGTATAGACCAGAAACTTACTAAGTTATTGAAGGAATTGTGTTGCCAACAAAAACCACATACCTGGCTTACAAACATCTACAATATTTCAACCTGTAAATTTCTGAATGGATAAACCTGCACCAGGAGGGAACAGGCTCTGAAATTTGTGCACAGCACAAGAGGGCATACTCCATTCTCTCTATGGCCCACTTTAGATATGATCATGGAGGGGAATGGGCAAGGAGGAACCTTCCAGTGGGCAAAGCCAGGAGACACAAAGGATAATGGGCCAGGAATTCATCTCAGATGTTTAAGCTATCTAGAAACTCCAAGATGGTCTTCCTTATGAATGACTCCACTGCTAAACCAGGTTTTGCATTTCCTGACAATCACAATTTGATCATTTCTATGGTCCGGTGACTGTGTTTTCCCATCCTTTCCTTTTCCAAAGGAACTTTATTCATTAAAGTTACCCTGTATGTACCTCACTACTATATACATATCAGGTTGTGGGGAGGAAGGTTGTCTTTACTTTTTAGGTTATTAGACCACAGGGATCCAAATATGTTTATGATGAGAAGACAGAGCATCACCAAAAATCCTGACATATGAGCTGGATGCAGTAAATGACTAGGTCACAGATGATCTCTCCTTTGGCAGGGGTGTGTCTTTTGTGTGAGAAGAACAGAATAGAAATTTGCATGACCAAAGAGGTGGACACTTGCACATTGCTAGCTAACTCCCCAATACCCATTCTTTGCTTCTATATCGATTGAAATTAAAAGTAGCCCATGGCTGCCCAGCTAAAGACAGCATCTCCTCACTCTCCTAGTACCTAATCTTTCTAAGCAACGACCGAGCCAATAGTAAGTAGAAATAATACATGCAACTCCAGGTCTCTTAAGTGAATGGAAGTGCCCTCTACTTCTTTTCTTCTGCTACTGGTGGCTTAAGCATTTTACCAAGACCTGGAGCAACGAACTAATAAGTAATATGTACCGCAGTTGGCTCTTTCACATACACTACTTCATTTACCCTGTAAGCAAAGTGCTCTTATCTTATTTTATACCTGAGAAGATCGATTAATATGGCAAGCCAATGACACAGGATCCCCACTGAAACGCTGAACAGAGTAATTGGGTACAACTTCATTCTTATAGCATATTAAAAATAAATGGTTTAGAATTCTAGAAGCTGATATGTCTGTTTACAGCACCAAAAATTCTTTAGAAACATTTTTAATCATAGAAATTGAAAGTAAAATTTACCCTTCATTCATTAATTCATTTACTCAATGAATATTTGTTGAAACACTGAATAGTTTTGTCAGAAATATAAAAGCAGAACATTTTGGTGCTATTTGGCTTAAAAAAACACTATTCTGTTTCTTTAACTAGTTGGTAGAAATGCAGGCATAAGCAAAAATTATAAAGGAAAATGAAGCATAATGCATTTACACTATTGATTTAAAATGTGGTTTATCTCACAACATTCTTGGCAATGAATGTCAAAGCACTGTAATTATTCCATTTCATTCCTCACATTTCCAGTCAATCTTTTCTCCCCATATATCTCATCAGATTCAGAAAACTGAAACATAACAAATGGTGTTCTAATTTTCTTATCCTTCATGGCCATATTGTCATGAAACCTCATGAAGATGAAATAAGTGACTCAAATATGGCTATTTCAAAATGCCATATTTCCCTTTTATTACTTATTTCTGAAGGATTGAAATTTTCTTCACTAGATTTGGTCATTATCCAGACAATTTCAATTTTTCTGAACAAAAGTCTAGATCTATTTACAATCCACTGCCATTTCCTTTCAGTACTTTCCCACACTTAACAACTGTAGTAGCACACATTATGTAGAGCCCCTCAGGATGACTGGTGATAGGTTACAGTTACTTTTTCTTGATTCCTATTGTTTTCATTTTTAGTATTTGATTTAACTTTTTCCCCTTGCAAAGTGGCTTATTATTCTTCATGAAGACACTCACACGTAAAAAACTGTCATATCCCGTTACCCCAGAAGAATGTTCCAGATAAAAGAAAAGAGATCGACCCAGCAATCCCATTACTGGATATATACCCAAAGAACTATAAATCATTCTACTGTAAAGACACATGCACATGTATGTTCACTGCAGCCCTGTGTATAATAGCAAAGAACTGGAACCAACCCAAATGCCCATCAATGATAGACTGGACAAAGAATGTGATACATATATACCATGGAATACCATGCAACCATAAAAATGATGAGTTCGTGTCCTTTGTGCATAGGTGGGTGTTGAACAATGAGAACATGTGAACTCGGAGAGGAGCATCACACATTGGGGGCAGTTGTGGGGGGTAGGGGAGAGATAGTCAGGGGTGGGAAGGGAGGGGGAGATGGGGAGGGATAACATGGGGAGAAATGCCAGATACAGTATGTACCTAAAGTTAAATAAATAAATAAATAAATAAATAAGAAAAGAGATCTACCTTCGTCTTCATCCTCCATTTGGGCTTTGGCCTCTCTTGAATACATGGCCCTTCGAAGAGTTTTCCTCTCTAAAGTAGTTTGGTCAGCTTCCATATCCTACAGTAAACATTATACTATCACACAAGGAACTAACACCAACAGGTTGTGACTTAACAATGAATGACTTGCGTGTGTAAATGGTTAGTTACCTTTACCAATCTCAGGGACTCTGTGTTCACTCTGGAGATCCACAACTCCTATCACAGAAGCAGCTGTGGGGGCAGAGTCTTAGACTTGTAGGAAGTGCTCAGGGTGTAGGGCAGCACATGAGGCCAGGAAAAGCAAGAATGAGATGCAGCTGACTCCAGGGCCAGGGGGCTATCTATCTCCCTGAGCCCTAAAGCACAGTTCCACCACTGCTACTTATTTATACATCACCTTCGGACTATCCTTGTAATTTTTCTAATTAAAGATTCATTCATGTTAATACATATTTTCCTTCAAAAGACAACATGGTTCCAAGTTGGTTAAACTGCTGTCAGTCATCCACTATTTTGAATTATTAAATCAGGACGAGTTTCTTTAGCATCTCACTAAGGGAGCTACATGAAAGAAAGGGAATTCAATAGGATCTGAAAGAAGGTAGGTAACTTTGAAGAAAATAGACAATGAGGATTCTTAGGTGCCTAGCAGTGTAAGAGAAAGCCCCAGGAGGAGAGAATACACAGAAAGAGAAGGGAAAGGTGCCAAAAACCAAAAACTTTGCAGATTTTTAAGAATTGCTGTGAACTTTATCCTGTAGTTAAGAAAGGGAGAATCATTTCATTTTCTCCATGCCCTGGCTTCTAATACCCCAGCTCCCCTGACCTCAGGACTGGAGGAGTAGCATCAGTTCAGTTACATTGTGGATTAAATCAGGTTCTACAGGCCATTCTGGAAAACCAACCATTTCCATTTTTCTGTGGGGAAATGCATTCTGAATTCTAAACAACTAACCCACAAACTTTTGAAATCTGTGGTAAATTGGAAGCTTCCTGCAGAGGCCAATACAAAAAAAAAAAAAAAGCCCTACACAGTTTTACTGTTACATCAATAAACCAATAAGTCTTCTGTGATCAGTCCCTAGGTAATGACTTCGGTTGATTTTTTTGGCCTCATACAACATATCTGATTTAGGAAACTTGCTATTCTAGAGGACTCTACTACTTCAGAGTCTTGGTTAAAAGCATGAAAGCAAAAATGTCTCCTGAATCCCATTTTTACAGAGACAGTTTGACCCCAGTTTTAAATTGTGCAGAAAGATATGAAAACCAAACTTTATAAATGAAGCTAAATTAAACACAATATTATAGAGGATTCCTGTCTTGTGCATATCATATAATGGAATAAAATAAATCTGCACATTGAAAAGCAGATTTGATTCCAGTTTAATTCCCCATGCTGTGACCAAAAGGTTTAAGACCTTGGAGACTTAAACAAACAAAACCCAAACGAACTTTAAAGCAATTTTTCCTAAGAGTATATGCTCACACTAAATTCAAAATAGGTTAAATGTTTTAAGTAGTGTTGATACTTGGACTAATAAAAATTTACTTTCATTTATCCAATAAATAGTCACTGGGCCCGGCCAGGTGAGGACAGTAGAGAGGGAAGTGAGGAGTGTTAAATAATACCAGTTAATTCTGCTTAACAGCATTAAGAAGATAATGGTTCATGTCATTTAAGCTAATAATATTTAAATCAGCTAAAAGTGCTATCTCCTTCTTCTTCTCTGTAGTTTTCATTACTGTTTTTTTTTTTTTATCATATTCTTTCCTGTTTACCCCTTAATCCTTAAACTGACAGCTCTTTTTAAAGCACTCCACTAGGAAGTTTTGTGCGTCCTTCAGTTTCACCTTCCTTCTCCGCTTGCTTGATCTGTTCTGGCTCTAGGCCGGACTTTCTCAGCCTTGACACAGTGACATGTGAGTTGGACAACTCATTGTCGTGGGGTCTGCCCTGAGCATTGCAGAATGTTGAGCACACTACAAGCTTAATGGCATCCCCCTGCCCTGTTGTAACAATCGAAAATGTCTCCAGATGTTGTCAAATGTCCTCTAGGAGACAAAATTGGCCCAGGTTGATAGGAAACACCCTGTCCTGTCATATAACAAACTAAACACAAAGCTGTTTGTGCAAAAACTTCCCTAAGGTATTGTAGTGGTCTTGTTCACTGTGTGATTCTCTCTGGCTGCAGATGAATTCAGGTGCCTGCCTTTTGCTATGTGGCAGTAATTTTCCTCCATCCTGAGATAAGGATTCTGGGCAGGTGCGTGATTCATTCCGGCTTCTAGCGGCTGCCATTCTACCTTGTAACTGGATTTACCCCGTCCATATCGTAACTTGCTCCACACTTCCTTCAGTCCATACATGACCTTGTAATGTGTCTTTAATTATACAGCTATGCTATCTCAAGTGATCACTTCATTTCTAAATACAACTTAATGGACTTTCTTCCTGGCTTGCTTAACAGTATTACTATAATATTGAGCCAACAGTTCTCTTTATTTTCCAGCTCCTCTTTCCAAAGTAAACCATAAATTGTCCTACTCCTTAAGTTTACATCATCTTCTTTTGTCCCTGGCATTTAGATCACTGAAAAAAATGTCATTTGGAGCTATCCCCAGTACGTTTAGAATCAAGCTTCCCACAGCACAATTCCTAAGCAGGCACTTGTCAACTCTACCTGCTAATGTTTTGGAGTTTTTTGTTTACTTATTGCTTTTTTTAGGGTCAAATATCCTCATTTCAATAGTTCTATGATTTGTCCTGTTCTGCTTGTATATTTTTGCATCTATCTTTTCTTCTTTGTGTGGTTTGCTTTTGAGATCTTAAGCAAATTCAAAGAAGGTAGAGACATCCTAGGATTTCTTTGGCTTTGTATCTTCCTCTTGCTATGGAGACACATCCTTTATTTTCTTTTCTAAAATGATATATTTAAATTTCCTGATGTTTTAAAGAAATTAATTGGTACAAATATTTTATTTTGTAAATGCTCATTCCTGGCTAAGAATATCAATGCTGGATACCTTGTACTCCCAACTCAAGAATGAAACATTTCAAAAATGTGCAAATTTAATTTACAATTTCACTTGTTGTTCAAAAGTTGTTCCTCTTTTGTGGTACTCAATCTGGTATCCAACTCTGTTATTACCTCATTCAATGTGATACTTACATCATCCGTAGCAGTATAGTATAATTACACTGGAGATGCACCTGTGTTTACAGCCCATTGGTACCACTTATTATATATGCTGTACAACTTTAGGTAAGTTATTTAACCTCTCTGAGCTTAGCTTTCTCATCTGTTTAAGTAAGATAATATTTTCTCTGCTTATTTGTCAGGAGTTTGTGAGAATTAAAATAGATCATGTAAAAAGGGCATTGTGGACTTTAAAAAACCTACACAAATGTAAAATTTTACTTTTATTTCCTTCTGATTACCTTCTTTCACCCCAGAAGCCTTATCCCTGACATGCCTTAAAACTTTGCCCCCCACCCCCACAGAGCTCTTCCTTCAAAATTACCTTGGCTTTTGATGTTCCCATGAACCTCTATTTGTAGGTGATTAGTGAAAATATTCTAATTTTATAGACAAGAAAAATGAGGTATAAGTAAGAAAAAATAAGAAAATGCTATACTTCAGTAAGTAGTTTGTCCAAGTTTTAAACATGCATATAATTGCACTATGGTTCAGATTCAAACAAACAGCCTCTAAAAACCTGACAGCACCTCATCCAAAGATAACATTAGAATTTTACAGGTTCAAAGTAGCCTGTTCATTAATAATAAGTAAAGATACAATTGCTTTGGATATCAGATAAAGACCATTATATTACTAAGCATTAAATGGTAATTTTTAAAAAGGTGTTCTTAGTAATTCTTAGTACGTTTTTATCTCTTCTGAATTGGACTCAGAACTCTTCTGAACTATGAGCACTTACCTTTTCTAATTCTTGATCTTGCCGATTCATAAGTGTTTTCCAGTGTTCATAAAGCTCAACATCTTTGGTCTGAATATCCTTCAAAGTTCCTTCTCTTAGGACACTTCCATCTTTCATGGCTATGATCTAAGGAAAGCAGATATTCCCAGAAATGAGACAAAAAGCCTTGACTGGCCAAATGAACTACCTTCATTTCAGAAAGCATTTCTCACTGTCTCTATTTATTTATATGACTATAATCCAAAAATGAACAAAATTCTCTTCTAAACTCTTACCCAGTCAGCATGCGTCAGATACTGTAATTTGTGAGTCACAAGAACGAGTGTCCTTTTGTCATCTTGGAGGAATTTCAAAATCCCCTCCTGCATTAAGTGATCACTTAAGTGAATGTCCAGGGCTGAGAATGGATCATCCTGCAATCAGTAAAATGGGGGAAAGATGGACGTTTTCTATACTTTTTACGTAACTCAATTCCTCTAGAAAGTAGTAATACAAATAACTAAGGGCAAATTATTCCCTAAATCTAATTTATTTTTTTAAAAAAAGGATAAAGAAAAACTATTTGTCAGGTACCATGCTTATTACCTGGGTGACAAAATAATCTGTACACCAAACCCCCATAAAACACAATTTATATAACAAATCTGTGCATGTGCCTCTCAACCAAAAATTAAAATTAAAATTAAATAAAAAGAGGCAGGAGAAAAACAAACAGACAATGAAATAAAGTTAGAAGTACCTGCAGGTGAAATGAAAAACAGACTTTGTATAATTATTTTAAAAGTAAATAATATTCCAAATGTTTTGAATTTTTATAGAATCTGAAAGTTCAAAAACTGTATTACTCAGCAATCTATAATAATAGAGCAAAAGAAAGAATAAAAAGGTAATTGTAGTTGAATTCTAGATAATAAAAATAGATATAAAAAATGTTAATTGGGCGGGGCATGGTGGCTCATGCCTGTAATCCCAGCACTTTGGGAGGCCAAGGCAGGCAGATCACCTGAGGTCAGGAGTTCGAGATCAGCCTGGCCAACATGGTGAAGCCCTGTCTCTACTAAAAACATAAAAATTAGCCAGGCATGGTGGCATGCACCTGTAATCCCAGCTACTCTGGAGGTTGAGACAGAGAATCCCCTGAATCCAGGAGCAGAGGTTGCAGTGAACTGAGATTACGCTCCAGTCTGGCAACAGAACGAGACTATCTCAAAAATAAAATAAAAAATAAAATGTTAATTGGATCATATCAGGACTTACTTAATGGGGATATTCTCAGAATTAAATGAGGTAATAAAGTGCTTAGTATGGTACTGGGTATATAGTTGACATTAGATAAATGTTAGATATTTTTATTATTATGTATAAGAATAGCATGACTAACACTTACCTGATGACATTATTCTAGGGAGAAAGTTTTCATCCACTAAGTGATTAAGACATTTAGAGAATAATTTAAGAAATTACATTAATTGCCTTTTTTTGTTGATGACATTACTATACATTGTTTTCATATATATTTCATTCCTAAAATGTTACATAGAGCATCAAATTACATGTTTCACATTTTTGGATGTTTAAAAAAGGAAAGCTAGAAACTACCAAAGAAAACTGAAATGTTTCTTCAAAACTATGAATTAGAAAGCAAAGTGACCTGAAGGGAGGATGCTGCAACAGGTATATAATCACCCCTTAGAAGGACCAGAGTTGGCAGAGAATGAAAGAAGTTGAGGGAGCACTGATGAGACAAAAGCAGTAAAAGATGGTGGAGGTTTCTGGAAAAGAACTGGGAAGAGTTACCAGAACAGTGGGGAAAAAAGTTCGTAAATGTCTTCCTCATTATCCTTTTTCCACTGTTGTTTCTCCAATATGTAAAATGCAAACAAACTTCTACTTTGTCTTATGGGCCCATGAAAGAAACAGCTGGTTCCTCATCCTACATACAGGCTACATGCTGAGATATGTAGAAATGACAATTCTACAAAATTTTCAATTGAGCGCAATCATAGTCTCTCTGCAGATAGATTGTATTGCTTAATAATCTGAATAACAAAAAAAGTGATTTCTATTTAGATAGAAATGGAAGTTTGGAAGTTAGAATAAATTTATATATGATCATTATAGATTGTCATATGATTAGCTCAGTAATGTTTCAGCTTTCCATCGATTTGTCTACATAGATAGAAACTATATACAATATGGCTTTATTAAATAATTTAGGAGAAGCCTTATAAAAATATTATCAAAGCATTTAGATAGTTAAAGAATAATTAAGAAGTATAAAAGCCTTTAAAAAATCAGTCTGCTGGATATCATAATTGTGAGTAAGTGGGTGATATAATCAATGTCCTCAAATGGCTTTTATAGAAATGGATACAATTATGTTGATTGTCTTGAAATTTCTTTGGATGACATGGGAAATATTTCAAATCTTTCATACCCTCTGGAACATCTTAATGCACATCAATTATTTCTGAAATGTTGCAATGGGTACTTTGTATAGGTATTTGAACTGGCTTTCAACTGCTCAGTGATTTGCTTTTTAAAACCATCATAGACACTAGCTCCTTAATTGTCATTTTGCTCCTTTTAATAACAAGAAAAAAATACTTTTCTAATTATTAGATTTTTAATAACTGGTAGAAAATTCTACCACTAATATATGAAATTTCTTTTAACATAGAAGTTATTATGTAACTTTGGAATTACCTAAAAATGGAAGTCAAGGTACAAATATAAAGTGCTATCTCCACAGCAATGGGAAAGTATCAAGATTACACTGACAAAATGTCTCCATTTCCATCTCCAACAATGCAGCAAGGATATAATTTCCAAGATACAGCAATCAGCAAATTACTGGTTTTAGAAAAGCGATGACTTTCACAGCGAAAATCTGATTGCCTTTGAAATAACTTTCTGCTTCTAATTCCATTAAAACCCCAGGAATCATTTGTGATGCAGGCCAAACTATCCTGAAATAATTCTTTCTGAGAATTTTTCACAGAAAAAATGACATGAATTAAAAATAAATTTTTATAATAATTCAATTTGACTTTCCAGAAAATTCTGAATTAATCAATTAATTAATTAATTTTGAGATGGAGTCTCACTCTGTTGCCCAGGCTGGAGTGCAGTGGCACCATCTTGGCTCACTGCAACCTCCTCCTCCCAGGTTCAAGCAATTCTCCTGCCTCAGCCTCCCGAGTTACTGGGATTACAGGCACACACCACCACAGCGGGCTAATTTTTTTTTGGATTTTTAGTAGAGATGGGGTTTCATTATGTTGGCCAGCCTGGTTTCGAACTCCTGATCTCACCTTATCCACCTGCCTCAGCCTCCCAAAGTGATAGGATTACAGGCGTGAGCCACCACACCCAGACTAAATTCTGATTCTACATGTTATAAGTTAGTAAGGCATGACCAAAAGTCCATTATCTCTATATTAAAAAGTCCAAATCATAGTTATGAACACTCTTGCAGGCTGGCAAATGTTTCAAACTCAGTCACTTCATCTATAAAACAGAGATGATAAAGACACCTGTGAGAAACCACATTGGATTGCTGCAAAGATGCGACAAAATAATGTAGGAAAAGTCTGTAAATCATTTCCAAAGTATTGCTTTATTATTATTTTCTTATAAATAAAGCCATGGTAGATTAATATTGTGCTTTCCCTTCAATGCATCAGAGTGTGATTTTAGCATCTTCTAAGCATCTCTTAATGAGGAAGAGTGTGGTGACTAAGAACAAAGGCTGTGGAATTCGGCCACCTGACTTTGTATCCCTGTTTCACTATTACTATCTGTGTGACTTTGGATAAGTTATCCCTAAAAGCCTCAGTACCTCCATCTGTGAACAGTAGTAATAACAATAATGATAGTAATAACAGCAATAATGTCAAACCTAAGAGAGTTATTATGAGAATTAAGTGAGGGCTAATGTGTATAAAGTACTTAGAATCATGGCGGAGGTCACGGAACTATCATTTTTATGCCATAGCTTCATGGTGGGTATTCGTGGTGTTTTTTTGTCAAATGCAACCTTTATACAACTTAAAAATTGAGGCTTAATGGCTTGAGAATCGTGTCTCAAGATTCAATATATATAAGATTATGAGGAAATACTTCCTTTAAAGAAAGCAAGACAATTTGCCAAATAGCTAATTCAATGAGTGGTCAATTCTTTGTTTTCAAGCTTGTATTATTTATTCTACTATACATATGTAAAGTCTTCATTAATATATTCTCTTCTGTATTCAATGAATGTGCTTAAATAGTATATTCTTTGTATGAATGTAATTTTGGAAATAATTTAATATATTCATTGATACAGCACATTTGCAGATGCAATAAAGTTTCCAAAAATAACATTTTGATACATAATTAAGACATTTTCATCTAGCTTTTATACTGCATCAAGGCTAAGATGATAAAAATTTGTTTAGGCAAAAGGTGAAACTATTCAAGTGACATGTACAAGTAATATCCTTAAAGACGTAAGTAATGCCTTTTTCTCAACTCTATTTCCTTAACCCAGCATAACAGATGGCCTTGGGGATGTTCACTGGATATTAATAGATAGAAAGGAGGAAAGAAGAAAGGGAGGGAGGAATAAAGAAAGGACAAAAGGGAATGAGTGAGTAAAGAAGAAAGCGTAAAAGAAAAGGAGAGAAAAGGAAAATACAGCAATAATTTCAGAAAATACCAGAGAATCTTTGCTGATTAGAAAGCCAATACTCAAAATACATGCATTTCTAGCCCAAATTCTGTCATTCACTAGCCACCAGTCCTTGTAAGCGTTTCGTCATTTAGCCTGAGGATACCATCTACCCTCTCAGCACTGTGATGAGAATCAGATGGGCTAACACTACTTCAGGAATTTTTAAAAAATGGAAGTGTAAGATATTATTATTTTTGAGGAATTTTAAAAACACATCGACAGCATTCTATTGCTGCTAAAATGTTTTTCAATAGGTTACAATGGCGTATAAGGCCTAGATTGTAAGATCCAATGGTTTTAAGGTTATCTGGGCTGATCAGTGTGTGTCTAGCACAGAATTTTTCAAAGGGACGCTTATAAACACTATACATCAGGGATTAAGAAAAGTTATACAAAATATGTCATTTGTTGAAGAATTGAAAATACTATGCTTGCTTAGCCTTGAGCGATGTAAGTTTAGACAAGTTATGACAATATTAGAATGTTGAAGTATATATACATTTTTTGCTGCAGAAATAGAGTGCAGGGTGATGAATAGACAGTACTTAGATAACTTTCCAATAATAAGAGCTGTCTGTGATAGAAAGAATAATGGCCCCCAAAGATGCTCAGGTCCTAATCCGCAGAACCTGTAACTGTGTTACCTTATGTGTCAAGCAGGATTTTGCAGATGTAATTAAGACTTAAGACCTTGAGATGGGGAGAGTATCCAGATGAGCTTAAACTAACTATATGCATCCTTAAAAGCAGAAAACTTTCCCGGCTATGAAGAGAGGAAGACATGACTATGTAAAAATAGTCAGAGAGACGTAATGTTGCTGGCTTCAAAGATGGAGGAAGGCAAGCATGAGACAAAGAGCGTAGGCAGCTTGTAAATGCTGGAAAAAGCAAGGATATTGACTGTTCCCTTCCCTGAAGGGAACACAGCCCTGCTGACACTTTGATGGATGTCTAATCTATAGAACTATAAGATAATATAATAAATCTGCATTGATTAAGCCACCAATTATGGCAATTTTTTTATAGCAGCAACAGGAAATTTATATACTGTCCAACAAGGAAAGGCTGCCTTAAAGGTGAGCAATGTATCTTCAGGGAGAGTCATCAAGAAGCTGTTAAAAGTCATCTTGTAATGAATAGGTGGGAACTGACAATAAGTTAACCCTACAATTTATTTGATTTCCATGATTCTACAATTGAACTAGGTCAGAGTCACTGAATCGCAACAGGCAGTAAAATGAACTGGAGTAGAAAGCCACTCCCAGGGGACCTCAGTCCCATTCACATTTCCAAGTCAGTTCCTCAGGTTTCATCAGTAATTGATCCCAAGCTTCAAGAAGTCATTTCTAGTTGTAGATCCATCCATTATTGCACAAAAGAATTTACAGCCAGGTGCAGTTTATGCCTGTAATCCCAGAACTTTGGGAGGCTGAGGTGAGAGGATCACTTGAGGTCAGGACTTCAAGAACAGCCTGGCCAAACAGCCTGGCCAACATGGTGAAACCCTGTTTCTACTAAAAATGCCAAAAAAAAAAAAAAAAAAAAAAAAAAAGCTGGGTGTGATGGCATGCACCTGTAATACCAGGTACTGGGGAGGTTGAGGTGGGAGAATTGCTTGAACCTGGGAGGCGGAGGTTGCAGTGAGCCGAGATTGTGCCACTGCACTCCAGCCTGAGTGACAGAGTAAGACTGTGTCTCAAAAAAAAAATTACAATTACATAGGCTACTGTTAGATCCTGCAATGGCTTTCATGCTGTTTTGGGGTTTTTTGGGAGGATAATTTTGGAGACAGGTATTAGGGAGATGAATTAGTATGTTCAAATTCTGCTACCATCCCCAATAACAGATACGAATTCAGTGGGAAACTCTAAAACCAACTTACTGTTTGAAGAGGTTCTAGAGATTAGATCCAGTAAAGATTCTAAAACTGTTCTGGGAACCAGATTTATAAGTGGTTAATAATTGTGCAGAAGGAGAAGGCAGGGATGCATTTACATACTCTGCCAGCATCTCCCCATTGTCTACTTGTATGCTATTTTAGATACGTCCTGCTGGAGAGACCAAAATAGAGCAAAATTATAATCAACATAACTATCAGATTTTATTTTTATATCTACAGGTAGAAATATATTATTAGTTTGAGATGAAAATCATTCATAGAGCTTTTAAGGACATAACATTTAGACTGTACCTTTACAGATTATGCCACAGATCTAGAGCAGAACCAAGATTTCTACAGTTCTGGGAGCATCACAGATAAAGCGTATCCACAGCCTGAGTTGCACAGCCCTGGAATGGGATACTATGCTTACTTACCCCTATGTCTACCAAGAGTATATTTTCTGGCTTTTCTTTCTTTGTCATTAAATATAAATAAGAACACTTATGATCCTGCCTAGTTGATCCAATATCATCCAGATTCTCTCCTGGTTAAGAAACTCAGATAAGCAACCACTTAGGGCATCTCAGTCTCTTGGATACCAATCTGGATCCCCCCAACTCTCAAGATATGCTGCTCTTCTACTGATCTACTGATCTGTACTGAGAGGATTTATTTCCCCTAAATACCCTATGACTTCTCAAGTTAAACCATCTTTCCTTGAGTTACTTGACTTATCTTTTTAAAGACTCGTTTGTTCAGATGGAAGGATGAAAAAGAAATAAAATGGAAAGCCATATTCTTACCAAAAAGACAATGTTGGTGTTTTGATACAGTGCTCGTGCCACACAGATTCTCTGCCTCTGTCCCCCACTCAGGTTGATGCCCTAGAGAAGAGACACCCCAAATATCCATTTTTTTATACTAGTAAATGATCTGTTGGTGATATTACCTTAAAATACAAATGTCTTTTAAAAACTCTTAAATTGTTAGTAACTTATTAATTAAATTGTAGTAACACTGGTAAGAAAACATGAAAACTGTCTACTGGTCAACAATTCTCAAATTAATTAAGATAGCTTTAGACTGATATGGTTAATCCTCCTTTCACTCTAATAGAGAGCTCTGCTGTAAAGAAGCATTAATCACCAAAACACTTGCTAGGAAATGCAAACAACTCCAAGATTTTTTCTTATTTCCTGAATTATGTCTGTAGTTTACTTAACATGCATAATAAGTACTAATGGTAATAAAGTACTAATTATACTTTTAAAAAAATACTAGTATTAATTGAGCTCTTAGTATGTGCCAGACTTGTGTAAATGGCTTTACTTTTTAAATTTCTTATTCTTCATAGCAACTGCAAGATGTAGGTATTGTTTTTATTTTACACATGTGGAAACTGAGGCTCACAGAACTTAAGTTCATTCTCATACACACTGTGGTATGCAGCAAAAAAAAAAAAACAAAACTAAACAACAGCCATTAAGAACAAAGGCCACAGAGCCAGACTAATCCTGGTTACACCACTATCTTGGCAACTGTGCAAGTTCCTTAACCTCTCTCGGCCTTGATTTTTGCAGCTTCATATGCAGATAACGATAACACCCATAACACAGATTTCTTGTGAAAGTAGATAATGCATATACTGATTCTGCCCAGGACTTATAATGATTAAAACATTTAAGACATTGTTATTCTAAGCATTTAGGTATAAATATTTTTCAGCTTGTCTAAATACTATGACATCAATGCAAAACATGGTTACACAAAGGAAAAAGAGCACTTTATTAAGAATAAATAGATTTTAACAAGATTGGGAGAAGTTATCAAAAGTAATCTCAGTTTTCAAACCCATTACAGCAATCTCCATATAAGCAAAATGCATTTGCTCAAAGCCAGGAACTATGTTTTACTTTTCCTTGAGAACTCTTAAGTGACTCGTACCATGGTAAGTATACAGTGATTACTCAATAAATATTAATACGTCAGAAAGAGTGGCATCCAAAGACTCCTGTCCTTGCTTTTCTGGAACTTGTCACTGGGACAACATTCTCCTAAGCTCTCAAATTTCATGATTCTCTATTAATGATTATAGACAACCGGAAGACTTCTCTAGATTTTTTATTCATTATTTAATGAAACTATATATAGCTCACCCTCTCTCCAATTTCAGTTTGATCTCCAAATGGTAATAAGTCAATATCTGGTTGAAGAGAACAGGCATCTGTGACAGCTTTGTACCTTTGGGAGAAATGATTTTGAATTTTTAGATCTCTATTAATACATTGCCCATAAACTAAGTGCCAAGTTCAATACTTCAGAAGCTGAAATAAAACGTTTGCTGAATTACTTATTACATGTCAGTTTCTGCACTACATTTCTAGATACAAAGATAAATAAATACAGTTTCCCACTCTCTTTTTTTTTTTTTTGGAAGATGGAGTCTTACTCTGTTGCCCAAGTTGGAGTGTGCAGTGGCATGATCTTGGCTCACTGCAACCTCTGCCTCCTGGGCTCAAGTGTTTCTCCTGCCTCAGCCTCCTGAGTAGCTGGAATTACAGGTGCACACCACCATGCTCAGTTAATTTTTTTGTATTTTAGTAAAGGCGGGGTTTCACCACATTGCCCATGGTGGTTTCGAACTTCTGAGCTCGGGCAATCAGCCTGCCTCAGACTCCCAAAGTGCTGAGATTATAGGTGCGAGCTACCACGCCCGGCTGGGTTCCTACTCTTAAAAAGCTGGTTCACGGAGCATAAGACTGATACAAAAACATATGATGATAAGTTTACCTTGTTAGGTGTTATAATGGAAGTGAGTACAAAGCATTCCTAGAACACAGAGGAAGAAATGACTCACCATTCTGAGAAGTTTCAGAAGAGATAAAGCTTAAACTGTGTTCAGAAAGTTGAGTGGTAAGTTTTCAGGAAGAAAACGAGTAAGGAAACTTTAAGGAACTTGAGAAAGTAAAAAAGCTCATGGTGAATGTGAGGGACTGAGGGAGGCTCATTATGGCTAATGCAGAGGTTGTGAGTAGGTGTCCTTGTACATTGTCATGCATGCTGAAGTGAGGAGACAAGGAGACAGGACTGACAGTGCTCAAGTTCCTGTAAGGCTGAGACTGGAAATCAGATGAACTGGAAGTACAAGGAAGCGTGGGGATTGAAGGTGCTGGGAGAAATGGCCATGACTTTATTTTCTTAGTCAGTTTGTCTTAAAATAGTTGAGTCATTCTTGATCTTCCCTCTTCTTCTTCCTGTTGATATCTGTCCATTGTTACTCTTCCGTTTTTTTTCTCAACCTCCCTTCTTTTACATTTCTACTGTCATTCCCAAGTGTAGGCAACACTTGGTAATTATTCCAACTAACTCATGAATGTCTCCATATATATGTATATATACACAGATGGGAATCTGTATATATAGAATGCATATCATTATAGCCAATTGGCTTTTAGGGGCCCCCACCCACTATCTGGTCTCAGCCTCCTGAATCTCTTTCTGGTTTGCTTCTGGGTTCTAAAGAATCCTGAAAAATTTAGGTTTTGTCTTTTGTATGGTCTACTTTTCTCCTCTATCCTCCTTCCGCATGCCTCTCCACTTACCTTACTCTCCTTAATTTTCAAGACCCATCTTAGGGTCCTAAGACCCCTCTTGTAAGAGTGGCTCAAGGAAAGGGTCATACCTTCTTATGTAGCAGTGGTACTTAAAAGATGCTTGAAAGATGGCATATTCTGGCTGCTCCAAGTTACTAGACCCCTGAGATCCTACATTCTTTTTCTTTTCACAGTTAAACTTCCTTTGTGAAATTCACTTGAATTTTTCCTTCCTTATCTTTTCACCAACTTAAGAAACACCCCCCCCACTCTCACCCTCCCCAACCCACACATACACACTTCAATTGCTGTTTAGTCTTGGTGCACAAATTGTTCTCAATAAGGGTACAAAACGAGGCCAGCAGGCAAGAAAGTACCAGATGTAAAGTTTCCATTGTTCATTCCCAAACACATCAGAAAGAGGTCTAAACTTTATGTGTTCGAAATTACCTCTGTTTGTTAAAAGGACTTCCAAAAGTAATATTTTCTTCTACTGTAGCATTTAATAGCCAAGGCTTTTGAGCTGCATATGCCACAGAATACCTGTTCCTACTGAAAAATGAAAAAGAAAAACAAAATACCAGGATTATGCAAGAGTACTGTGCTGTGTATGATTTTCCTATAAATAGAGAAAATAAAATCGGTAAAGTATCTCAAACACAGAAATGGAAAACTTCTAAAAGAGAAAAATTAAAAGACTACCAACCTTACTAAGAAATGATTAAATATGCCACCTAAATTAAAAGGATAAGCATTGAATCAAAATGTCACATGTATAAAATTTGGTTTTGCACACTGAAGAGGTGTTTTAAGGTCTAAACAACTAATTAAAACTTTCTTTTCTAAAATGACTATAATTTAAAAAATAATTAAAAGATTAATAACAATTTACTGTCTCCAATAGCCACATATATTTTTCTTTATGCTAATAGCACTTTACTAACCATACATTCTACATGCAAACCTTAAAAGACGATGTTAATTGATATTATAATTATTGTATGGGTTTGTGGCTTAAGCACATTAACATATTTCATGGTAATAGATAATACGTAAATATTTCAAAGTATTATCTTAAGGAGTCCCTGAAACTTTCAATATTGAAATTATGTATTTAAAAACTGCATATTTCAAAATATATTGAAATAGCTTATATTTAAAAAAATAACTCCCTCCCTTATTTTGACTTGCAAATTCTACCTGACGTCTATACATCAGACTCTTATTTCCAATAGTTTCCAATAGTGAGCTGAAGAGGATAATGGGATAGGAGTGGGGTAGAGGGCAGATCAGTTTAAAAGTCAGATTTCCACAGTTAGTTCATGATCTGTAAGTACTAATGAAGGCAATATGGTTAAAAGAGAGCACGGTTAAAAAAGAGAGTAGTTAGAAATGTTCAATGATCTTTCTAAAACATTACATCTTAGGAGCATAGGAGACATGATAATATATAGTACGCTAGTAGTCTATGAGATAATCGTATGTACAGTAAAACAATGGTTCCCAACCTCTGACATATCTGCTTTCCCTCCTCACCTAACTCGGGTCTTTAACGTTTTTGCTTTTGTTTTTTTTTTTTAAGTAGATAAAGCACTTGGCTCTTCATCTCTACCTTACAAGTGGACCCCGTCGCTGTTCAACTCAACTCAATATATGTATTAGTTCTTACATTTGTATATTATGAAATCCCAAGACCAGTTTACTGAAAACAGTTTGAGTTTCAGCCAAAGCTGGGACACGTGTGACTCAGTCAGAGGAAAACAGTTGACACAAGGAGCCACTTTGTTTGGTAAATTAATTCTTTTAGCAGTCTGCCAAGGTTGCGAACCACTGCTGTTGGAAATATGCTAGTACACTTTAAAAAATAACTATACATCATCAGAATAAACAAAATGAGATTAAAGAGATTAAAGTCTGAGGAAGGAAGTTATTAAACTCAGGTTAAAATAGAAATAATACCTTCTGGTTGCTTCAAAAGAAGGCTCAGATTCATTTACACTGCAAGTATGGCAAACAATGTTCATTAATTATTAAGTAGAAATATAGAACCAATATGCTTACAAAACAGGTAAGAGATACAATAAACCCTGGACATATTAAAGAGCTACATTTCCCAAATGGTTTTTGATATTAATTTCAAAGACAAACCACATAAATGGTATTCTTCTTTATGTCTTCATCAGCTAGGAAATAATTACTTAGTAAGCTTCTAAAACATAGATAGCACTCTTCTCGTTCATAAAAAATTTTGGTTCATAACAATGATTTGGGTTCTAGTGCCAATCCTGCTCCAAAAAGCTGTATAATTGGGGAATCCCTCTAGAATAGTTTCCCAGTTTCATAAAGATTCTGTATTTCCAAGGCCTTCCAACCTTTAAAATTTGATTTTAATAAATTTAAATTCCAAATTAGCTACCCTAAAGCCTGAGCAGAAATACTTTTTGGGCGCTAAACATGAAAGATACACAAAACACACAGGCCCCTCAGTAGCTTGTAAGAATAACAGACTTGCACAAGAAACCAAACTACATCTAAGTATAATTAATTATTGATATGATTTATGTAAAAAGTGGGCTTTGACTAGTCACAAGTTGTTATTCCTGTATTATGAGGAAAGACACCTGAAGACCTATTTCTTTTATTGTTCTAATTTTTAATAATTTAGGGTCAGTTGAATTCTGACACTCGGAAAGACCTAAATTCAATAACCTTATTCATAATTAATGCCTACGAAAACTCCAAAAATTGATTCGATTTGACTTTGCAAAATGTTGTATGTTTTTATGGGAAAATTTACCTAATTATGCTACCTAATGATATTGGTTTAGAGTTAGTAAGGATCATTTTCACTACTGCACATTGCTAATGACGTCTTGGGATGGCTGATAGAGGCAAAAAAAGCAATATCAGACTAAAAATTTCCTCTCAATAATAATTATTCCCTGATTTACTGATAAAAAAGAAGGAAATGCTCATTTTTCTGAATAATATTTTCCACACAAAATTCTTTAGATACCAAGATATTTAGACTTTATTTCCTGTGCTCTAAATCCAATAGGTGACCTAAATAGTTTTAACTAATTTGAGGAAGAGAAAGAAGAGGGGAGGAAGAGTCCGTGTGTGGCAGAAATGAATGTGTTAATCTGTATTCTGGCCATTCAAGTGGAAATGCCCATTAGACATGTGTAAATAAATACCTGTTGGACACTTGGGAATGTCAGCCCAAGGAGGAGGTATGAATTTAGAATTCATCAATCTATTCAATAAGGATCAATTAAATTCCGACTCTATTCAATATCAGCTCAAAAATATGCATTGATTACTACTTAGTGCCACACATGCTAGAGATACAGAGAACAAGAAAGGTCCATTCCTTCTTTCATGCCACTTTCACTTTTGTGGGAGAGAACAAGGGAATAAGGGCTAAGAGAGATGGGGTAAAAGATGGTATTAGGGCACTAATACCAAAAACCAAAAACAAGAACCAAAAACAAAGACGCAAAGAACCAGACAACCAAGCACCTTTAGCAAATCAGAGTAAACAATAGAGTTTATGCCAAAGGCAAAATTAAGAGTGTGTCAGCTGAAAAAAAAGCCAAGAGTACTTCAGACCTCAGAAAATATGTATTAGAAAGCCATGAGGTATCCTGGTTACACAAAGAAGTAGTGTAAATTCAGTGTGGCTCAAATGGAGGTGTAACTGGCAGTGAATTTTAAAAAGTAAGTCCAATCAGATAATGAAGGGGCTCATAAACCATTTTATAGGGCTTGAACTTTTCCTAAAAGTAAAAGAAAACCACTGAAAAGGTTTTAACAAGAGAGAGATATAGGTTCAGTTTAGAAATATCATTCTGATCACAGAATGCAACAAATGAACTAGAGGGAACAAGACTGGAGATCACTAACGAAATCCTTTGCCAACCTCACAGATTTGACTCAGTCAAGTCACCTATATTTGTTTTTATAAAACCCTGTTGTTCTTTCTGGTATTTATAACACATTAATCAAATAACTGTAAAATTATTTTCTTACTTCCTTTTGGTTTCCCTGGCTAAACAGTAAGCTTCATGAAAATAGGGTCCTGGCTTCTCTTGTTCACTTATTTCTCCCCCAACAACTAATACAATGGTTTGCATATAACTGGTATGCAACCAATATTTTTTAACAAATTAATAAATGCAAGTGTCACAGAAACCAAGAGAAAAGTTGATTTCAAGAAGTCATCATTGGGTGAAGAGTTTCAATATCTGTGGAGAAGTAGGACTGAGGACAAATGATTGGGGATTTAGCACTTAGGCAGTCATTGGTGAGAACCTTTCATCCAGGTTGCGATGCACAGAGTAAAGGAGCAAAACAGAGGTTAAGTGTGGGTGGACCACATTGTTAAAAAGAGGAATATTTCAGTCGATTGAGACATAAGCAAGACCATTTTTAAAAAAATGGGTGAGGCAGGCATAATGGAGTGTGAACAGTAATAAACAAAGACATAAGAAAAAAGAGTTAATTAATCCAGTAAGATCCTGAAAAATGTAAAACAGCACATAGGGGATCTTAACTTCTAAAAACCTCTCCTTGAAGGATTTAGGTATATTCACCTTTAAGAGTTAGATATACCACACATTTCTTATTGTCATAGAAAGAAAAAATATAGATCCATTTGTAAGTAATCGTCTTCCAAGAGCAAATTAACCTATTCTTTCACTAACATTTTAATGAATAATGTTATGATCCTTAACTTCCAAAGTTTACCTATTCCAGCCCTCTCACGTATCAGTATGTTTAATCAAATTCAATTGTGGAGGGTTATATTTTTTTCTCTTCCAAAATAAAAATGTAGATTTAGCTCTGTCTAGACTCATTCTCCACTGTTCAATGTGGTACTCAACAGCACTCAAGACAAGAGACTGCAAAGAAGTCAGATATAAAGTCCCCTTCTAGAAAATAGAATTTCACTTCTGAAAACCTCTGTATGTAGAATTTGTGTATATTTTCCTTCAGAGCAAAAGTTAAAGTTGATACAGTGTATTAGCAATTTTCAAGTATTATAGTTAATAATTTTATGGAATGGGAGAGTTGAGTTTTGCAAGTTTAAATGAGGAATGACATTTGGAAGAAGGGAAACTAGATTTGGCACAAACATGATATATTACATCTGATCCAGGAAAGCCGACATAATATATTATTCCTTCATGCCAGGCAAAGTCACATGAAAAGGGATAACTCCTCCATTTGTCTCAAAATAATTGAAGCACTGTTACATAGCTGATTACACCAAGACGGTGGAAGTCAGAATATCAGGACAGAAGGCGCCTGAAGAATAGCATGGTTGATGGCACGGGTCAGAGGGAAAAATGAACAAAGGAAAACAAAGATAAATGACAGCTCTTTCTTACATAATTACCACCACAATTAAAAAGCATTCTGGACTCTCTCACTGAAGCCATCCATCAGGTAAGGCATTTTTTAGTTCTAGCTCCTATGATATCAGTAGAAGTTGTTGCTTATCATGACAACCAGGAAAGGACTTCAGTCAGGCACATTTGTTTTTCAACAGATATGAAGCACACCTGCATGCAGGACAGATGTGCACATCGGCATTCTGACAATTTTGGAGAATGTTTTCGTTCCTCTTTCCTCTCTCTAATCTTTTCTCTTCTGGGTCTACCACATGCCAGACTAGGTCAAAGGAAGCATTTCCCAAGGAAACAACTATCAGCGTCTTTGTGTACCCCATTCTAACCACATAGGTGTGTGTTGGATGAGCAGCAATGCCTTTTCTCCAGCCCAAAGTAAATACTTCCTGCTGCAATAGGTCAGAGTACATTACTGAAATTTGTTCATGCCTATCTATGAAGACACATTTAAAAATAAAATTTATGCAATCAGAGACACATGTCATGGTGAAGGAATGATGGCAAGATATTTGGTATCTTACCATATCATTTAGTTTGTTTTGCTTTAAGCTTTAAAAAAATATGATACAATTCACTCTGTTGAAGAAAGGACTTCTAAGCATTTACACAGCAGCTTATAAATATCAAAATTTCTAAATTAGCTTTGCCTTAATTAATAGTTATATGCCTTTTTTTATGGGACTGGACATACAGCTTTTGTTTATGGAATGAAAAGAGCAATTGCAAATAACTCTTTTAAAAAGTTATTTTTAAATAACTCTTTTGAACTCCCCTGAAGATTCCTGATCCTAAAATATGTTTTATCATATATTAAGAATACCAGGAAAGAAAATTAAGTAATTCTTTTAATTAAATAAAAATAGAATTTGCATTAACTTATTCAATGTATTAGAGGATTACTTTTTCATTTGTTTGTGTGTTGAACTAACTTAAACATTTTTGAATAAAACTTTAGTTTACGGGAATTTTATAAATACTCAGAATTATCTTAATTTCCTTTTTACACTTTCATCCTACTGGCTGTTACTCCAAGGTCTATGCTGAATCTATTCACTTTGGTCCATTTCACAGCTACCGTGGTACATCAAGCTACCTTCCTCTCTCATCTGAATTAGTGAAATGAACTCTTAAATGGTTTCCCTCACTTCCCCTCTTGCCTCTGTAATTCATTCTCTACACAAAAAATCAGAATCATCTTTTCAAATTGTACATCACATCTTTTCAAAATGTAAATCACTCTTCTACTTAAACTTCTGTAATATTTTCCCACTGAACTTAGAACAAAATCTTAGCTCCATATCATACCCAGAATGCTTGCCTCCCTTTCTAGGAAGCCTCAGGTTTCACCTGCCTCAGTCAGTATTTATAAGCCATTCTAGACCCTTTTGGATCCTCAAACCACCTCACAGGTATAGTACCTTTTGCTATATTGCCTTGTTTTATCATCTTCATGGCATTTATCAAAGTCTAATATTATATTTTTTTTGTTGATTACTTATATACAGTCCATGTTCTAGACTGTAACTGCATGAGAAAGAGATTTGTCTTGTCTTGTTCACTTCTATATCTTTGATACCTAAATCAGTGTTTGGCATGAAGGAGGTACTCAGTAAATGTTGAATGAAAATAAAAAGGACTAAGGAACAAAATAGCTATATTCCATACTAAACATAGAAGATGGTCCAACTGATGTACAATTTATGCATTTCTCCAGATGGAGTTAATTTCATTCCTGGATCAAACCAGATGTTGAAGATCTGCATACTTAGACCATGTTGATTTGATACTACCCATACCACATCCACCTCCTGCATGCCCTCTAAACCTTTAAATATTTACTATATAATCTATAATCCAGTATTATATTCTGAATTTTATTTGTAATAATTGGCACATGGAATTTGCTTTTGAATAAATTTTAGGAATACAAAGGACATTAAGAATTAAATAACCTTTTATTGACTTTTTATGAGGTATTTGGAAGATATTTCTTTAGTTTCTTTTTCTTTCTTTCTTTTTGTTTTTAAAAGAAATGGTCTTTCTCTGTTACCTAGGTTGGAGTGCAGTGGCACATTCACAGGTCACTACAGACTCAAACTCCTGGGGTCAAGAGATCGTCCTGCCTCAATCTCCCAAGTAACTAGGACTACAGGTATGCATCACAATGCCCTGCTGATTTTTAAAACTTTTTGTACAAATAGGGTCTCACTATGTTGCCCAGGTTGGTCTTGAACTTCTGACTTCAAGTGATACACCTGGCTCAGCTTCCCAAAGTGCTGGGATTACCGATATAAACCACGGCTGGGCAGATTTCTTTCATAGTTCTCTCCAACAAAAGAAAATCAACCTGTACTGAGTAAATGTATTTCTATTTGTTCCTCATGTTTCCTTCTTGGCTTAGCTTCCATGAGGTACAGAGAGAAATTTGTGGCCCATATTTCATAATTATATAGGACTTCAGTACATGCATTTATGTCTGTTACAACCTCAGATGATTATTTAAACAATATTTTAAAAATTTCTTTACCTTTATCTTTCCAACTCTACTATACTATGTTATTTTAAATAAAACAATACAAAACTTTATGAAATAAGATACAATATAACTGGTATACATGCTTAGGAAAGCAATAAAATAAATAACTAGGCTATAAATAATATTTCCTGGATTCTCCCATCATTTCTTTATTTATTAACACAATGATAATTATTAATGATAATATTGGGGGTCAATTTAGCCAAAGTGGAGCTAAGGCCTGGAAACTTAAATGACACTTGGAACAGGCCATATTAGGACAGTTTCCTGGTAGTATGAGAATAAAATCTCAAGCCTCTTCTGTCACTGTCATTCCTTCTCTCTGTTTTAATGATGATAAATCAGGATAAAAACAAAAACCAAATAACTTAATTATGGTTGTACAAGCCACACAATATAATTAAATCCAGCGGGATCTGCTTCTTCATCCAAGATGGAAGTGATAGTGGCTACGGGAACACCATCTAGTGCCTGAGGATAGTGACAGGGGAAACCTTGTCTAGTGCCATGAAGCAAACTGAGGTAGCAATGATTTACTGAGCTCTCTCCTAAATATGCACTGAACAGTTGCAAGGCTACTATTTGCTAGATTTGCTCAACAGGGATAAAATGTACATTAACAATTCTCAGTCTTCTTCTCTTGCCAATGACATTGAAAACAGATTTACACTTCTACTGGTTTCAGTCTGAATTTCACAACCAATAATTTTTTTTCAATTGGAGTTTAAAATAGAATCTACTCTTAAAAGAGCCATAGTCTGCTCATTCTTGAGAGATGTCTATGTATGTTAACAGCCACCTCAGCCACAGAATTCATGATAGTAGGTGCAAAATGATATGAAAGAATTTCTGTAGGTTTCCCAATTGATATTTGAGACGAGAGAATCCCTTGGTATGGGGGCTGACATGTGCACTGTAGGATGTTTAGCAGCATCCCTGGCCTCTATCCACCAGACCAGTAGCAACCCAGTGCTTCCATGTGAAATCAGAAATGTCTTCAGACATTGCCAAATCTCCCCAGGGACAAAAGTCACAGCTGTTTGAGAACCACTAGTCTATAGCCTAATTTCTTAGATTAGTTATAGGCAATTTCTTCTCAAAACTACTTATGAGGAGTCTACTAAGTAGGCCAAACTAAATAAATCTCATTTGCTCTTTTTTAACCAATTGCGTAACATATTTATGCATCAATTTTAATACCACAATGTGCTCTGACCACCATTCAAATATCTAGAAGGAAAATCATGCCGGAAGCAATCACTCAAATTTCTGGAAGATGCCCTTTCTTTTCTGTGTCTTTAGAACTGCACAACACACTAATCAACCCTATTCATATCTCCAATTAGGTAATTCTAGTATCTAGTTTAAGGAAACATAACGATAAATAGTTGATTTTTACTTTCTTATACAGATTTTGGAAAAGATAATTTGACATTTCTTCTCTGAACATTGAACCTTTAAGTCACTGCTATTTAAGCCTTATAAATAATGCAAGATTTCCGTAACTTATTTTGTTATAGAATGAGCTTTTAAATTATTTAAATGTTATTCATTTAACTTTAAAAATCTATCTTTACAATTCCAACCTTACTTTTGTCTCAGTAATATACTAGTTTATGCTATTATAAACAGCTTTTGTAATAAATGTTTTTAACATTTTACTTAAAACATTTAAGGTTACCACTAATTTTTTTTTATAGCTGTGCTTACTTCTGAGGGGTGTTCAGAGTCAGAACATGTAAATGTATTTCTCTAAGTTCTTTCCTTGGAAGATTGTCAGATGTATGACACAGCAACAGAAGCCAACCAAAAATATACATACTTGCTCCAGTGAACTTTTCCTTCCAGTGTCTGCATCTCACCAAGGATGGCAAGGAGAAGAGAGGACTTTCCACATCCGACTTGACCCACAATCATAGTTAACTGACCTGGAAAAGCAAAACAACAGATAACTACAGAATGAGATGGAATTGTTAGTGAAATAAAATCAAAACACATTTAGAAAAGCTAATGTTTTGTAATCACTGGCCCAGTTTTGATTTCTAGCGATGAGGTATTCTAAACAGCTCCTTTCTGTGATGTCTTTTTGAAAAAAGAAAAATATATATATATATAATGATTTATTATTTTTAAAACTATGAGAATAGCTGATATCAGTAAAGAGAGCAATGAAATAATTGCCCAGATCATCTAGATTAGTTTTAACTTTATTATTCAATTCATTCAGAATAAAAAGGGCAGTTTTGACTAAAATAAATAATCAGGATAAAAATGATTTGGGCTAAGTTACTAAGACACTCTCTTCAATTTCTCTCTTTGTTTTGTATTTATAATAGAAAAATCTTCACCTAATGAACATCAGGCCAGGTCAAGAAATATTTCTATTCAATTATAGAGACATTTTAAGGAAAAATTATTGGGTTTATTCTTAAATATTTTATTCTTTTTGATGCTACTGTGGATAGTATTGTTTTCTTAGTTGAAGACAGTTAGTTGTTAGCATACAAGTACTTGTAAATAAAATTAACCAAGGAGGTGAAAAATATATACACTGAAAACTATGACATTGATGAAATTAACACAAACAAAAAAATGAAAAGACATCTGGGCTTCGGGACTGGAAAATTAATATTGTTAAAATGTCCGTACTACCCAAAGCAATCTACAGGTTCAGTGTAATTCTTATACATATCCAAATAGAAAAACTAATTCCAAAATTCATATGAAAACAGTAGACCCCCAAATAGCCAAAGCTATCTTAAGAAAGCAGAACAAAGCTGGAGGTATCATACTTTTTGCTTGTAAAATATATTACAAACCTACAGTAATCAAAACAATGTGGTACTTGCATAAAGACAGATGCATAAATCAATGGAAGAGAAGAGAGAGACCATAAATAAACCGATACATATACAGTCAACTGATCATCAACAAGGGCATTTGAAAAACTGAGTATCTACATGCAGAAGAGTAAAATTGGAGCCCATACTACACCATACACAAAAATCAACTCAAAATGGATTAAAAACTGAAATATCAGAGCTGAAACTACAAAAATCCTTAAAGAAAAAAATAGAGGAAAATCTTCTTAGCATTGAACTTGGCAGTGATTTCTTGGATTTCACACCAAAGCACAGGCAACAAAACCAAAAATAGATAAGTAGAACTACATTTAACTAAAGAGCTTCTGCAAAGCAAAGGAAATAACAGAATGAAAAAGAGACCTATGGAATGAGAGAAAATATTTGCAAACTATCTATCTGATAAGAGGTTAATATCCAAAATATAAAATAGCAAACACAAAAACAAAACTAAACCAGAAAGAAAACAAATAATCCAATCAAAAATGGGCAAAGAACCTGAATAGAGATATTTCTCCAAATAAGACATACAAATGGCTACCAGGTATATATAAAATGGCATTCAACAACACTAATCATCAGGGAAATACAAATCAAAACCATAATGAGATATCACCTCACGCCTGTTAGAATGGCTGAAAAAAAAGTGAAAGATAAGAAGTGTTAGTGAGCATGTGGAGAAACTGGAACCCTTACACACTGTTGCTGGTAATGTAGAAGTGTGCAGCCAACCATGAAAAACAGAATGGAAGTTCCTAGAAAAACTAAAAATAGAATTGCCATATGATCCAACGATCCTACTTCTGGGTATTTTTGCAAGAGAATCAGAATTAAGGTCTCAAAGAGATATCTGCTCCCCCATTTTCATTATAGCATCCTTCACAATAGCCAAGATATTGAAACAACCCAAATGTCCATTGACATAAAAATGAATAAAGAAAATGTGGTATATACATGCAATGGGATATTATTCAGTCTTATAAAAAGAAGGAAATCCTGCCATTCATAACAACATGGATGAACCTAGAGGACAGTAAGCTAAATGAAATAAGCCAGTCACAGAAGAACAAATGCTGTATGATTCCACTTATATGAGGTATCTAAAATTTTGACTCTTTTAGGTATTTTAAAACTAATTTAGTCAAAATTTTAGACACTTCTTTTCACAGAAGCAGAAAATAGAATGGTGGGTTCCAGGGGATGGGGAAAGGGAAAATGGGAAATTGTTGTTCAATAGGTATTATTGCATTTCCGTTATGTGAGATGAATAAGTTCTAGAAATCTGCTGGTCAATGTAGTACCTCGTACCTACAATTAACAATATAGTACTCTGTACTTTAAAATGTGTTAAGAGGGTAAGTTTCATGTTAAGTGTTCTTCCCACAAAAAATAAAATGAAAACAGAAGAACAGAAGGAAATTTTTGGTAGCAATTGCATATTGAATACCTTTATTGTGGTGATGGTTTTCACAGGTATATACATAGCCAAAACTCATCAAAATGTAAGCATCAAATATGTAGAATTTTTGTGAATCAATTACACTTCAATAAAACTTTTTAAAAATATTAAATCCATAAAATTATTGGATATTTAAGTTGTAAGTATCTTGAAAACTTCATCAGTATTTTTCATGGATAGAAAATAAGTTTCTCATATACTCATTCTTTGAAGTATTTCTCAAATAAAAAGTGAAATCAACCACCCCATTGTTTAAATTGCCCAAATCAGCAAATGAACAGTAAATAATTGTCCGAAGGTATAGACTCCATAATGAAAGGTAGGTCTTATCATTTCCAGCCATTGCCACAGTGACACAGTGGCTCACAAGCAAAATGGTGCAAGTAGGTAACCATAAATAATATTTATGTCTTTAAAAAGTCTTTCTCATTTTTTTAGACTCAATTATCTTGGAAAACCATGATCATGGTCATGAACAATTACAAAAATGCGTAACAAATGACTCTTACCTGTTGGAATTCGAATGTCTATATTGGATAATGTAGCTAAACCACTGCCCCATGAAAAGTACCCATTTGTGACCTACAAAATAAAAATATAGAAATTAAATTATATATGTGGTATCAATGAATAATTCTAATTAAAATAAAATTTTTAAGTGCTAAAAGACAATACAAGGTAGAACACACAATGGTGAAATTCTGATTTAGAGTTATTTAGTGATAGTAATGAAAAATTAAAAAGAATGAAAGTGAAAGGAGGGTCTTTCAATTTGTGATATGAAGATTGCTAAAAATTTTCTTTTAAAATTTGGGACTACTGGATCGTTTACATATGGACATTCTTAAACGACAATTATCCCAAACATTTTCTAACAAAATCCCCAAATTAATTATTTTCTCACTGCCAGACAATTCCCCAAATCCTACTGATTAAAATAAAGAAGAGAAATAACCACAAATTATTTCAGCAAAATGACTGCATTAACTGAGGAGGAAAATTCTATAATTAATGAATTTCCTGAACTGTGTAGGCTATTCACTGAAGTTAAAAAAAAAAAGAATAAAGAATAAAAGAAGTGAGACAACATTGCTTCTGGTATAAATGCCAACAGTCAGCAGAGATCACAATACCCTCTATTCATCCCATGAAATCTATTTGTTTTAATAAGCTTCATGTTGACTTAATAGTTTTACCAGTTATAAAAATAGAAAACAAAACAATAACAGAACCAAAATTAGAAGGATGGAGTAGATACAGATGAGGGGAGGAAGGGTTCCTAAAAATCAGGAGACATTAAAGATACACTTCACTCAGATACTAATATTTTATTTCAAAACCACAAATGAAATTCCTAAGCACAGTATTGTTTTGGAATTTTGCAGAATGGATTTGTGGTATCTCAATTGTAACTACGTATAACATGAAAACTTCATAAAATACACAACTTCAAGAGTGAAAACTCTGCTTGAAAAGGTTAGGTTATGTTTTTCCATGCAGGTTTTCTCTAGCTTGTAGTACATCTGGCACAATATTTAGTAATATTGGCCACGTAGCTATGCATGAAATTAGTCATAGAAGGAGGGTCTCATGAAAGGGCTGGATCAGAAACACTGATTGCTTTATAAATATGGCTGATCATCCTCATTCTGTGTGAGGCACTATGTTAGGTTGGTGTGGGTTACAAAGAAGGCATAAGATATCTTCCCTGCTCTCTTGAAGTTTGCAGTCTGTTGAGTAAGTAAACCATGGAAAGAAGTGAGTACAAGACAAGACAGTATGGGCCAAGTACCAAATAAAAGGGACAGACAGACACTAAGTACAATAGCAGCTCATAAAGAAAATCATTTACTTCTGGGATGAATCAAAAAACTTTTTTTTAAAAAGAGGCCTTTTAGCTAGTTTGGTAAAATATACTGAATGTCAATGAAAGCACTTGTAGGTAAAGAACTATACTGAGAATAGGCCGAAGATCAAAAAAACTAGAAAATACTTCAGGGGAAATGATGAATAGAGCTAGCTGGGGCAGAGCTGGCTGGGGCTGTCATTATAGTTAAGTGACAAATAGCACTTAAAGAAATTATACAGCCTGAAAGGCTGAAGATTTTTTTTTTCTCTCCGAGAGTAGGTGAGGAGGCTAAAAGAGGCACAAAAATAGATGCTGTGGACAAGAGCCAGTGAAACTGAGGGAGGCCCTGCACGACACTTGATGTTCTCAGTGAACTGGGAGCTAAGGTGATCTGGGGAAAGAGGAGGTGAAAGGAGAGAGGAGGTGGGAATAGAGTGGTGACAGCTGCATAGCCACTGTAGGTTTGGAAAATGCTGCTGCTAAGAGGCATGTAAAAGGATGGCAGAGAGCTACTGGGGGGAGGGGTGTCAGCCGAGGCTGGAGATAATAAATCAGTAGCCATGCTGGCCTGCACCACTGTATCACCTTCTCCATAGCACTCAGCAGTCTGGTTTAGATGTGTAGAAGGCATGAGGTTGGATTGCTGCAGAAAGGTCCTCAAGGACTGCGAGAAAAAAGAAGGGGCTCAAGATATTGAAGGTTTCAATGGTGTTAAAAAACAATGACCATGAAAGTAAAAGCCTGAGAAAACTTGGGGACCAAGATTTTGCTGTCAGTGACTGACAAGTCTAATAGAGTAAGATAGAGGGATGCAGTTCCAGGTAGTGACCAAGTGTAACTACAGGTGAGGTTGTGCAAATGGAGTGATGGTAGATTAGGGGATTTTCGGGTTGCGATACTAGATAGACTGCCCTTGGAAGTTTAAATCCTATCCATGTGTGGCACATACAAAGATAAAAAGGTGGACTAGGAAACATACATCTACATTGAAGGTGGAAGAGTGATTACGAGGTCTTCTGATAATAGATGTAAGAATAGGTAGAAAATGCCATAATGTGACAGAGGAAGGCTATGGTCTGAAAGTAGCAGGGACGAAATAGAAGAATGCAATGTTACCTTCCGATTTGGTGCTATATGGAAGTAAAAAGGAACAACATCCACCCAAGAAAGAAGAGGAGGAAGGCTAAAGTTAATTTCTCCTGCTGCCATTTACACTTTCATTCCCTCCTGCCTTTTACAAAATGCATTAAATTGCCCACCGGCAGGGTTAAAATTCTGACTTCCCCAACTAGATGTTTGCACTCGGAAAATCAGGTAATATATAAATCAGTCTTTGCAAAGGTTCATGTAAGGATAGGTACAATGATGATCATCATAGCAGGGTTTGTGATGGAAGATGGAGGCAAGCTCAGTGTCCATCACTAGGGGATAAGTAAAATGCAGTGATGCATTCTACAGGATACAGTGGTGCCCTTAGAAGGAGCAAATCATCATGAAAACATTTAAGTAAATTGAGAGCACACAGATGCTCTCTAACAACACAGATGTTGTCTAACAACAATGCATACTTTACAAGGATATAAGCATGCCTAAGCACATCAAGCACATTAGAGCTGGTTCTATAATGATGGGGGTAGGGGTAGGTATATTGGGGATAAGGTGACTTTGATAGGAAGGAATATCAGGGCTACAGAAATAATGAATTGGAATTTAAAAGCAGGAGCCATATAGACACAAAAAGTCACCTAGTATATGATTCCGTTTACATGAAATATCCAGAATAGGCAAATCCATAGAAACAGAATGCAGATTGATTGCTGCAGGTTGGGGCAAGAAAAGTGGGAAATGGGGAACAATTGCTTAATGAATTTGAGATTTCCTCTTGGGGTGATGAAATAGTTTTGGAACTAGGTAAAGGTGGTGGTTGCATAACATTGTGAATGTACTAAACATCACTGGATTGTTCACTTTGCAATGGTTGTCTGCTATGTGAATTTCACCTCAATGAAAAGCAGTTTTTAAAAATTTAAAGACAGAGGACACACAGACCACTGTCCATTTCCTCCTGCTGAAAATAAGTAACAATGCTGAACAAAATTTGGTTTGTAAAACATCTCACTAAAGAAAGCAGTTAGGAAATGTCAAGTCAAAATAAAAGAAAAAATACAAATTCAAAGATGTGAGCCCCAGAGCACCTAAGCCTCTTTCCCACAAGGGGTCAAGTATAGCTAAGAAGGTTAAAAAAAAAAAAAAACGTATAAAGGCTTGTTCTAAACAGCGTCAATATTTATTAGAAAACTACAGTAATCATTACAGTGGAATACTGAACAGACAAATCTGAGAAAAATAAAGACTATCAATTGATCCACACATATATAGATCCTTAATGTGTAACTGACATCACACTGAAGATCAGTAGGGATAGTGATCAACATATGGGGTCAGGCTACTGAATATCACACTTGAAAACATTAAATCAGACCTTACTGATTTACTATTAAATTTAAGAAAATGGCTACTAATAAATGCACTACTGCTACATTTACTATTTACTAATAAATTATTCACCACTGACTTACCTACTAACTCACATCCCTACTTTATACTAAACACAAAAATTGATTTTACATGTATTAAAGAAATAAAGGTAAAAAATATAGTTTCGAAGCTTTTAGAAGCTAATATACAATGTCTTCATGACCTCTGGGTAAGAAAGTTTTCTTAAGGCCAAAAAACGAAAGCATTAACCATAACTGGGGTAAGGGGAGTTGGAAATGGGGAACAATTGTTTAATGGGTTTGAGATTTCCTCTTGGGGGTCATGAAATAGTTTTGGAACTAGGTAAAGGTAGTGGTTGTTATATACTAAATTATATACTAAGTTGTTATATACTAACTAAAAGTCATATACTAGACTATGTTAAAATTCAGAACTTCTGTTCAATGAAAGATACCACAGAGCAGAAAGCCAAGCCACATAGAGTGAGAGAAGAATTTTGCAACATGTGTGACTGTCAAAGTAGTACCAAGAATTTTTAAAGAGGAAAAGGACAAATAACCTGGCAGTTCACAAAAGAGACCTTTAAACCAAACCCATTTTCATATATATATCTAATGTGGAAAGGTACTTGACCTCATTTGTAATCAGAAAAATGCAAATAAAAATCACAGCAAGATACAATTGTATTTCTCCCAGCACACAACACTTGGCAAAAAATGAGAAGCATTGGTGAAGATATAGAGCAACTGGAACTCTCAGTCACTTTTGGTGAAAATGTAAATTGCACAATCACTTTGGAAAACAGTTTGCCATTACCTGGGAAGATTGAGGATGCATACACCCTACCACTCAGCAACTGTTCACAATAGCCTCAAGCTGAAAACTGCCCAAGAGCCCATCAAAAGTAGAACAGATATGAAATTCTGATATATTTATACAATAGAACAATTTATACAATAGAACATCAATGAGCAAATGAATTACAGTTACAGCAATGTGGATGAATTACACATACATAATGTTGACCAAAAGAATAAACACACACACACACACACACACACACACACATATTTAAACTTTAAAGGAACTAAAAATATGTTTTTAGGGACGCATGCATAGCAAGAATAGTCAAGGAAATGATGACTATAGAAGTCAGTGTGGCAATTATATCTCAGGGGAAAGATATAAGAGAACAGCAAATATATGTGTTGGGGAATTTTCTGAGGGAGCTGCTGATATAACTATGTACTTCTCTGCAGTATATTGCATTTCACAATAAAATATTTCAAAAAGATAAACACATTATTACCAATTTGTGAGTTTTCACCATAAATAAAAAATTAATTTGGGCTTAAAAGTGAGCCTGAAACTGTGGAGGCCAGTCAGAGGCACAGCAGACCCAAAGCCATTGATAAGCAGCATTTTTTTTTTAATGCATGAATGGTCAATTTTGGAAAAAAAATCATAATAGTCTCTTTTTTTTCTATTATGAGACACATGGAAAAGGCATATTTTTTAGATTCCTATTACAGTGAACAGAAAATGTCAATTAAAAACTGGCCATTTTTTTGACTACATTAGTAGTTATTAGTAGGCATAGTGAAGAAACAACAGCATAGAGGATCCTTTCTAATCGCTCATTCCTTATCTTTTCATAGCCCCTAGTTCACACTCTGCCTGAACATTATAACTGCCTAGAGAACAACACACACACACACACACACACACACACACACACACACACACTTTTAAAGCTTTGTTGGTGATTCTAATGCATAGCCAAAGTCAAAAATCACTAGAGCTCTCTTTAATGCATATGTGACATATCCTTTTAACCCCCAAACAACCACACTAAAATGGCATGTCCACCTCAAGATGGGCAAAAAACCAGGACTCAGTGAGGCATAGTAATTTGCCCAAACACCATGCATCAAATTAGTGGAAAAGGGGGGGGGCTAGGGCTAGCTTGTTTCACTCAATCACCTGTTTGTTCCAATAATGAAGTGGCTACTGTGGGAAGGTATTGTGTCAGGTGTCAAGGAGAGAGAGACCTAAACATAGCTCTTGGCTCTATTATACACCCCACACTGAGCCTCCTCCTCTCTCTGACTGGTCCAGACTGTGCAGGGGAATTGGATATCCTGCAGTAGCCAATGCAGCCAGTTTGCTAAGTTTCCAGGACTCTGGCAGCTCCCATGGCTAGCGGCCCTTGACTGCTGCCGGCAGCTATTCCAATTCCTGCACAATACTGACCACTCCCTGGGGCTCATCCCCAACTCTTGGTTGCCTTTTCCACCTTAACTTAAGCACACATGCCTGGGGCAAGTCCAAACAGCCAAGTTTGTAATCAGATCAAGTGCAGTACTGGGAAACTGTTGAATGCATAGACTAGTCTAAGTCGCCCCTGATCGAAAATAATGACTATCTAATTTATATTCCTAAAATTTGAATTTATAATATTGTTATTCTCCATAAGTCAATTTATTTGGTTGATAAACATAGGAATACCAAAAATAAATACATGCGATACTAGCTTCTAAAACAGATTCAGAAGAAAGGCACATTCTCTGGGTATTGAAATGTACTGCTGGAGCAAAAATTGCGGTTGGGAGATGAGGAAGAACTGACAATTAAAAGTCATCAGAATGTGTTTTTAAATGTTATTACGGTTAATGACAACTGTAAAATGAATTTAAAGGCACAATTTAGGACACTTGCAGAACTTCACCATAAAGTAGTAACATAAATGTTTCTATTCATGTAAGAATCCAGGAAATAAAAATAACCTTTATGGCAATATCCTCTGTTTCTGTGGGACGTAGACGCCGTGTTGATTGCTCATAGCTGTCCAGGTGATATCTTCCAGGCTGTTTCCTGTTTATAGTTTTTGGCTGCTGCATTCCAAATGGAAGAGAACACAAGTTGAAGCTTTATTTTAAAAAATCAGGTTTTACTGAACATTTACTCACATTGCTGCCTCACTTAAGTTCCAAGGAAAAGAAACAAGTGGATATCATATTTTAATTATTTCAATGACTCCTTAAAAAAAAACAACAAAAGAATTCTTAAGCTCTAGTTAAATCTAATTCACATGCCTCTTAAGAAAAATGAAAATGGTAAAATAGGATACTTGCAAATGATGGAAATTAAAGTACAGGTCTCAAACTAAGTTTTGGATAATCTTTTTCCAATGATATGGATGGATTATGCCCAGGCGATAAACATAGCTGTGTAGTGTTAAAAGGTGATCAGATTAACTCAGGTCAAACTAGAATCCATTTGTTAGACTATGACATGGTTTGGCTGCATCCCACCTCAAATCTCCACTTGAATTGTAGCTCCCATAATTTTCAAGTGTCATGGGAGGGACCCAGTGGGAGTTAATTGAATCATGAGGATGGGTCTTTTCCCATGTTGTTCTTGTGGTAATGAATAAGTCTCAAGAGATCTGATGGTTTTGCAAAGGAGGGTTCCCCAGCACATGTTCTCATGTCAGCCGCCACGTAAGACGTGCCTTTGCTTCTCCTTTGCCTTCCACTATGGTTGTGAGGTCTCCCCAGCCATGTGGAACTATGAGTCCATTAAATCTCTTTTCTTTATAAATTACCCAATCTCAGGTATGTCTTCATCAGCAGCATGAGAACAGACTAATACAGCTATCAGGCTTTTAAACATTCCACCAATAGATTATTGATTATTCTCTGAATCACGAAAATTTTTAATCTGATACACTCACATAAATCAGACTGAGCTATACAGCACACAGAATCTGCTATGGATTGACAGAAACATAAAGATCAAGATTTTTTTCATCCAAAGATATTACAATGTTTCATCAAGAGATCCATAAGTCTTATACAATGATCTAGTCTATTTCAAATTTTACAGCCCTATTCTTAGTCAACAAACTAAAACATCCATTGTAAAGAGGATGCCAGCTGAGGTGTGACAGTCTTCACATATTTAGGTGAACATAAGTCATACCTAGAAATTTGTCATTCTCTAATTTTTGAGTTCAGTTTCACACAGAGATAAATGGCTAAAGAGAAGGTAGAATATTTAGCTCATAAACCTCTCATTTGGAAAAAATTTACAGCTCAAAATTTCTGTCAGAAACATATTGAATCCGTATTTCAACATAAATAGTTTTTTTTTAAACAGAGTCTCACTCTGTCACCCAGGCTGGAGTGCAGTGGCATGAACACAACTCACTGCAGCCTCAACCTCTCAGGCTCAAATGATCCTGCCATCTCAGCCTCCTGAGAAGCTGGGACTACAGGTGCATATCATCATGCCTGGCTAATTTATCTATTTGTAAAGATGGGTTCTTCCTATTTTGCCCAGGTTGGTCTTAAACACGTGGACACAAGCAATCCTCCCATCTCAGCTTCCCAAAGTGCTGAGACAATAGGTATGAACCACCGTACTCAGCCATAATTATCTTCCCTACTCGAATACCTTATAGAGACTATGAAGGCTAAGTAATAATACATTTTAAACTGTTATGTTACCTAGGAAAGCAAAGGATTCTAGAATTGTGAAAGTTGTTGGTTTCGGCGGGGGGTTATTTTTTTGACCTGGAAGTGCAGGTTTAGCTTTTTGAAAAATCAATTGGGTTCTACTGTGGGAATTAGGAATGTCCTTGAATAATCAGTAATTTAATCCAAACAAGATATTGCTCTTCCAATTTCCATCAACTGGTGTATCAAGAGAACACCAAACTATCAAATAGTACATTGCTAGGCTACGCGCAAATAAATATACAAACTAAAAAGCCACTGAAAAGATTAGAAAGCAAGACACTAGCAGTCATTCAGTCACACAGAAATTACTAATATATTTAGACTTAAAGAGAGAGAGGAGGAGAGTATGTTAATAAAATTTTATTTTAGTTTCGTTTTTCCTTCCCACAGCCCTCACAAATACTCCTGGAAGTACACTGCAGGAGAGGTTGTAGAAAGCCACTATCCTTTAGGCTAAATATATTTTCCATACAAAATAGGTCTACACCTACATATAAAATGCACTGTCTTCTAGAGTCTTTAATTCCATAACATTATTGCCCCCACAGGTCCAAAAGAAATGACTTCATGCCCTTCAAAAAACTAAGAACAGGGTGGGAAGAGGAGATGTGTTGACAGAGATTTGAGTCGAAGTTCCACAGATGTAATATGAAGAGACTTTGGCCCTAGACTGTCACTAATTCTCCATGGAGATTCTACAGCCAAAACCACTTAACTCTAAGCTTTTACAGAAAACATAGTATCTTCAGTGCTCTCAAGAAGGAGTTTCCATTAGTGTTATTTTCAAACACACAGCTTTTTTCACTCCATTTTAAAAAGTTTGTCATTTGTGGTTTGGCCCATCAGCAGTGATGACTGACCCTGAAAGACATCAATAAGTCAAGTCTGGTTTCAATAACCCCGAAGATATTGGATGCATTTGAAGGGGATTCTTCTTTTCTTTCCAAAACCTTTTCTCAGTTCCATTTTTCTTCTGTGCCACATCTCATACAAAAAAATTCTTCAGATTCCCCTAACTCCATAAACTTGACCTCCTGTATCTTGTTTCTTGAGGTCATCCCCATATCTCTAAAAGATTAGTTCTTTGGTAGTCTAAGACCATCCAAAAGAGGGACAAGCCTGGTTCTAATCAAATAGTTGACCTTCCTACTACTGAAAAGTTTAGACACTCTTTAATGCATTTTTGTCTTTGTGTCCATGTCCACACAATAACAAACAAGCATTGTTCCTCCACCATATATTGACCAGGTGAGATTTTGTCTGAGAAGGTTGGTGGTCCCTTCTCAGACAAAATCTCGCCTGGTCAATAAAACAACTTAACAACAACAACAACAAAACCCTCCAGAACAGCAGAAGAAAACAAGTCTAAATATAGCAACATGATTGTCCTATTTTTAGCAATTTTAAACATGATGTAAAAAATACATAATATAGATGATTTCCTGGGAAAAGCTTTCGACATTCTAATCAGTAGTCAGGAGAATGCATGTACACTTGTATTGGTTCATATAAATGGTAAATATATTCATTTTTTCTAATAGTAACTCAACTAATATGAACTTATGACTCACTGTAGAACAATGCTTTTCTACTTTATGAAATATATTAATTTTTAAGAATTTCTTCAGAATGTTTTTGACACTTTCTTCAAGAAACTGGTATAATCCAGTCATTGATTTAATATTATCTAATGGCTAATGACTCTTAAATTTATATCTCCAATGTTTATGTCTCTTCTTGGATTAAGAAGTATCTCAAAATTTGCATGTGCAAAATGTACCTCTTGATTACACCTCAATGCCAATCTCCTCGTTTCCAAGCCTCCCTATTTTAGTTAATGGCTAGATCATCTACCCAAAAGTCAAACCAATAATGTAGGATTCCTCCTTGAGTCCTCTTTCTCCTTTACCTCCTCCATCCAATCTATCAGCAAGTCTTTATTAGCTCAACATCTAAAGTGTATACTGAATTTGATCTTTTTTTCCCACAATGTCCACTGCAACTGGACCAAAAACTCTAACCATCATCCTCTCATGCCTACGTTATTATAATGATCTCTTTACTGATCTACATGTTTCACTCTTTGTCCTCCAGTGACTTCTCTCTACACAGAAAACAACATAATCTTTAAAAAATATAAGCAAAATTATATTACTCCCTACTTTGAAACCTTCCAATAATTTCCTATTGTATATCAATAAAATCCAAACTCTTTCCATGGTTTATAAGGCCCTCAATCATTGTTCTTACATCATCTCATCTTTCTCTTCTTCACCAGGCTCCAACCACAGTGCCCCTCTGTTCCTTGACTACACCAAATGAATTCCTACTTCAAGATCTTTGCAACTACTAGTTCTCCTACTTGGAATGCTCTTTCCCCATAACCTTTCAGGAAAGGTACCTATTTTTTATTCAGGTCTTAGCTCAAATGCTGGCTCTTCAGAAGGGACTTCTTGGAAATGACTACTCTGCTTCAAGTACCCATTTCACTCTCAGATATCCTCTTTTATTTTCTTCACACAGTGATACTATGTTATTGTTTTAATTTGCTTATCAACTCCTGCCTCAATAAAGCAAATTCTGTGACAGGAAGGATCTCACATGTCTCATTCATTGCTACATCCCTAGATCTGAGCACAAAGCACAGGGTAGCCAAAAAATCTAAAAACACAGGCATATATTTTAAAAATAACTTATTCATATTACATGTAATGCATGACAAAATAACATTGACTATGCTTCCAGATTTTATGTAGATACTAAGTAAATATTAGTATCATGGATAAATGAACTGGTCTACAACTTACAAGACACAGGTTTTTTTTTTTTTTGAGACGGAGTTTCGCTCTTGTTACCCAGGCTGGAGTGCAATGGCACGATTTCGGCTCACCGCAACCTCTGCCTCCTGGGTTCAGGCAATTCTGCCTTGGCCTCTTGAGTAGCTGGGATTACAGGCACGCACCACCATTCCCAGCTAATTTTTTTTTTTGTATTTTTAGTAGAGACGGGGTTTCACCATGTTGACCAGGATGGTCTTGATCTCTCGACCTCGTGATCCACCCGTCTCCTTTTAATTCTAGCTCTACCACTTACTAATCTTATGATTTTATTTAAGCCTCGTGACATGCAAAATAAAAAGAGCTGGATAATTGGAAAGTAAGAAAAAGACAATGCAATGTAATTCAGCTGGAAAATAAAAAGAGACAATGTAATATTTTAAGTGGATCAAAAGATAAAATGCATCAGAAAATGTTTCAAACTAAAAAGTATAATACAGTTAAAAGGTACTATAAGAAAATGGTGCATGAGTAGTAAGCTTATTTTGTGTTATTTTTATATAAATTTGGAGTAACCAAACTCTGAATTTCCTTTTCAATTGAACACATATTGTCTCTTCAGACAATTCTTTCTGGATTTATAAAGACAAGCTGTATACATTTGTTTATTGACTTTAAACTTGTGAGGTTGTGTAGAAGCAAGTGGCAATTTTTCTTCAGATGGGTTAAAAAATAAAGCTTATAATCACTTGGAATATCACTCATATTCTGCTGAGACTGTCCTCTATTCACAAATTCCATAAGAAAAATAAAGCACTTACAACTCCAGTGTGTTTCTTACAGGACTCAAAAGGAAGCGAACTCTCACCAGTTCGCCAACTGTCATCACCAATCTCATCACTCAAGAGAAACTCATTCAGCTTTTGAACACTGAAAAAAGCAACAAACACAAAATAAGAGTTAACAATAAAACCACCACCAACAAAGTACTACTTAAATAACCTCCTAACACAAATTATCATGGTGAGTAGGATGCTTGTGAGAATCATTTTTCAAGACCTACTGGGAATTCAGCTAGATCAACCGTTTTGACAATCCTAAATTGCCAGGGACAGAGGGATTTCCAGAACATGGAACTTTCAGTGCTAAAACCAGAAAAATCTCAGAAAAATCAGGACCACTTGTCACCCTAAATTCAACAGAACATTCTTTGTTTTTTTTTTTTTTTTGCAATTATATTCCTTGTCAAAAACAATGAAGTTTTTTAGGAACTTGGAACAGAGTGATTAAAAATAACAACAATGAGGAAATTCCTCTTAGTATTCTAATATTACAAATGAGGGGGAGGTGAGGTACAGAGAAACTAAGTAACCTACCTAAAACTATTTAGCATGTAACCACTGCAGCTCTGGAGTCCCTGGTCACTGTGTATCTTGCTTAAGCACTATGTATTATGCACATTTTCTGATTCTGGCAAGGAGAGGGGCCTCTAGAGTCTTGCTCCTCAAAAGTTTCAGCCAAGGACCAGCAGCATCAACATCAACTGGGAGCTTATTAGAAACAGAAAGTCTAAGCTCTGTCTCCAAATATGAATCACAATATGCATTTGAACAATACCCAGAGGTACTTCATAAGCACGTTACCATTTGAGAGGCCCTGCTCTACAAGACTGTTATGCAAACATTCTTTTCTGTGACCGCCTCAGTACAAGCCTGGGCACAAGACTATTTGGCTCATGTACTCTACCCATTCTAATGTCTCAAACCAGTGTCATAGGATCAGAAGCAAAAATAAATAAGTAAAACAAAGAAAATAATAAAATTTGTAGACATTAGCCTATAAATAAAATAATACACAAAAGAAAATTCAATGAAGTTGCAAAGGAAAACAAGTGCTCCTTTTGGCAAGCTAGGATGCAGAAAGTGGGAAAACTTGCTTAGTATATGCAGCAGCAACTATGGGGGAGGTATCGCCTTTTTATAGGAAACTAGAAAATGTATGTATGTATAAAATAAATGGTTTCTTTTTAAAAAAAATTTATTTGAACTTATTTTCAAGTTCCTCCAGACAGGTCTTCAGGGCTTGTTTTTTTGTGACATAATAACAAAATGAGAAAAAAGTAAATTTAATTCAGTCTGTTGCCCATGATATTTAAGCATTTTGGCTTTGCATGCCATGGAAACATGAAGGAAGATGAAAATCCATTGAGGCAATCTATTAGCCGTCAAATTGTAGTTGCAGGGAACTAAAAGAGATAATTGTTTAGGAAGAGCTTCAGTTTGTACACTTTCTTTGAGTCTTTGACAGCAAAGTCTGACCATGTAGACTTGAAAAACTGTGTTATAAACGCCTTATGAAACATTATCTCATTCCTCTTAAATAGCTGTTATTTCTCCTTCACTTTTGAAGATTGTAATTGTCATTCTGTTCTTATATTTTGAAAAGATTTGATTTTAAGAAATACAGCTCTGTCAATCAAAGAAATACCTTTTTAACAATCTCACACCATGTCTCTGCACAAAAAAGAAAGTGGAGAAGCCAGGCTCATTTGTCTTTATAACTCCAAATCTAGCAATGCCTGGCACATGTTGTTCAAGGAATGTTTGCTGACTAAATCAAAGAAGGAATAATCAATGATTCAGACATTAAGTAAAGTCGGTTGGTTCAATTTTCCATTCCCATTTCTAGTATAGATACAAATCACTAATCTTTCCAGTATAGATACAAAGCTTTTATGGAATAAATGAGCCCACACTCCTTGAGCATTGGAAGCAATGACCTCTGACCTTGATTGGGAATGGGGATGAACATTCTCTCTTCATAATAACCCACTTCGAAACATCAGTGACAAGGACCATCAATGGACGCCAGTACTAACCTGTCTCTGAACCTCTTACTTCCTTTTCCTCCCAAGTCCCCACGCTCTCTGGGTGAGGATCTCCAGCACTGCTGTTTTGTCATTGTTGGTGTTTGTTTCATGTCTATCTCTGCTACTAGACTGTGAGCTTTTTAAAAGCAGATTTTCATCTTTAGAATATATTCCAATGCCTACAATATAGCATGGTCATTCCTCAAGAAATGTCTGATGAAATAATAAATGAGTAATACAAAAAGCATTTTCTATTCATATGAGGTCCTTTCAGAAATCACAGAGGTAGAACGATTATTGAAAATGCACAAATCCTGACCGAGGGTGAAGTAATTTCCACCACGCTTCCAGGTTTATATTTTTAAAATGCAAATCTATGCATGTAATGACCCGCTTCTTAAAGTGACAAATTGTATCCGGTTGACTTTACGCATCTTTAGCATCATCTAAAAGCTGCTCAGGAGTTTACTCTCCAGCTTCATGCCCTGATATTTCCCACATCAGAACCCTTCCTCCAATGACACTGAATTACTTTTAGTCTCCTGAAGATACCAAGATTTCTCACCTACTTACCCACCTCTTCCCCTTGAATCTACTGCTGCCTCTGCTAAAACATGTTTTATTTTTTTTCCAACTTGCCAAGTCTTACCTACTTTTAAAGATTCTATGAAAGAGTGCCACTTCCTTTAAGTCTTTATTCATCAGATAGTTTCCTTTCTCTCTCAAAAAGCTTCAAGAATGTCCATTATGAGCCATAGCAGTCTGTGTATAGCTTTATAATGCCATAACCCTTTATACAGCAATTTGTTTCCCTTCCTGGTCTCTCTCTCCAGGAGTCCCTCCCTGGACTCCCTGTAGATGTAAGGCTATCTATTATTTTTGCAATTCTTAATGCCTAGCAATGTACCTGCATCAAAAAATGAATGCACCTCCACAGAAGATGCTCTGAGGCATGGGGTAGAGATGAGTGAAATGATGGTAAGATGGTAAAAAATGGAGATTTGTAACATACCTAAAATATTTAGGCAACATGGTGGGCACTTTTTGTGTATTATCTCATTAAATTTTCTCAACCACCATAAGCAGAGTAATATTATTGTGCTCATTTGACAACAATGAGGTTGAACAATGAGTATTTCCTGGTAGGACCAGAATTTGAAAGTAGGTATATTTGCTACCAATCAATTTGCTATCCTGCCTCTACCACCTTTCTAAATCAGTATTTCACTATTTTCTCATTTGTTTAGATTATTCACAAAAATATTTTAGGTCTTAGTCATATGTTATTTTTTCACTTCCCCAATTATACTTTGGGTGAGTAGATACAGCTTAAGTACCCTAGACAGGAGCTATATTAATTGGGAAAACTTAGTTTGTTCCCAGCAGTCACATGTTTGTTGGTTCTTTTTGTAGGAATTATAAAATTTTGTAAACTGAAATACAGAGACCAGGTCAAAGTATAAGAATGCTATATGGCAAATATGAAGAACCATTTATTTGACTTAAGATAATGCAGTGAACTAGCCATACCTACATTCTTTTGGGAGGTACATGAGAGCAAGAACACAAAGTTACTTCCCAAGAAAGTGAAGGATTTGTGTTACACGTTTGTTTTTCTCTTGGCCAAAAGCCTTTTTGGACATAGATATTGGATTGTGCATCAAACAGAATGTACAGATACCTAAACTCAAATTATTTATAAAGGATATAAGCTATTACTTTTAAAAGAGCAAAACACATATATTATTTTCTTACAACAAAAGCAAAGTAGAAAAGTGAGAGGCAAGCATCCTAAAAAACATCACTCTTCTTAGAGCATTTTGTTATTTTAGATAATAGTTACTTTTCATTATTGGGTTTTGGGAAAGTAGGCAGAACACTTCATTATAAAATGTCCAGAAAATTCAAATGGTGTGGAGTGCTGGGGTGTGTGAGGAGACAACCTGAATCACACCTGCCTCGTTCTTCCATTTTACGAGGTATATACAGGTCTCAGCCATTGAATGCTATGAAGACAACTTGGCTAATGAGCCAAACTTTTTAAAAGAAAGCATAAAATTATTTTGGAGCAGAGAATTGAACATGGTACAGAATCTTCCTCCAGTAGAGAAGTTTACAAGTCTCTTACATGCATGTATAACACAAGTTTGAGAGTGTGCTTTATCCCATTTTAAACCACCAAGTTTCTAAATCTATTTCAGAGTGCAGTGAGAGACTTAGAATTTCCACACTTCCTGAAGAGGAGATTTCAAAATCAGCTGACCAAAGTCTCCGATTATAAACAGGCTGTTCAACTCACAGTGGGCCAACTGGCACTCAAGGCTGGTCACGGGTTCCCAGGCACAGAAGAAAATGCTGTAAGTCCAGTCAAAACTGGGAGAGCACTTATTTCGGTTCTCAGAACCATCAGACAGTGGTAAAAAGGATTAATGTTCTCTTCTGACCAGCCATCTCTGTAGGACCCGCAATTCAACCACCGAAACTCATTTGAGAGAATCAGGCTTTTATAAGCAGATTTTGTTTGGCCTATGGCTTCGGATTTCTGGAACTGAGCCCTGAAAACAGACTGGTCTTTATCAAACTGGCAAATGTCTTTTCCATGAGATGTGCAGAAGGGAGAGTGCTATGCAGAAATATACGGTGGGCATATCCATTCTCCACCGTACTAGGATTTACTACTACAGAATTGTAGACCACGGATTGGAGGGCCACCCCTAGATTGTTTTCAGTCTTTTTTAATGAACTCAAAGTCCTTTCAAGATTTCAGAGGCATTATCTATTGTAAGCTATCAACTGCTTTCTATCTCCACTTGTAGTACAAAGTCAAATTCTAAATAAAAGTGCAACCATGAAAGGGACAGTTGTTGAGTGGAGAAAGTGAAAATAAGGATCAAAATAGCAGACTCTGGCCATTTATCAATTTTATTGTTTGAGTAGCTTCCCTTCCAGAGCACTGCCTAATTTGGAAGTGGTGTTATAAAAAGTAGTCAGTGATCTGGACAAGTGTTTCAGAAGGCAGAACAATAAGAAAATGAGAGCAGATGTGGCCAGAAGGCTTGAGCTCTAGACACTAACAGCTCTAGAACTGATTGTTAATGATATGTCTTAGAGGTTAACACTGAAACTATGTTATGTTATCATATTCTATAGGAATTTGGTTTATAAGATGATTTATATGCATTTTAATGTTATTTGATAGTAAGACATTGTCAAACCAATGTAAACTATTGGCCTAAAACTGAAGATTCTGGTATTTTGGATATTAAATTCAGTTTTCTCGGCAAGATATAGACATGAGCACAATTTTCTCATTTTAAAAGCCTTACAAATGATGTTCTATGTTTCTGTCAATTGCAACATGATGCTTCATTTATTTAAAGGTTCGATGTTCCAATTTTTCTTCAATATTGCAACATCTTGGCATTTCTTTCAAAAGCCAGATATAAATATGATAATGACTATTAACAAAGCATTCTGACGTTGCATAGGTTTATAAAGAGCATGTATCTAAAAAAAATTCTTCTTTAAGACTGCCTAACTTATAGGAGCACAAGACATATAGACTATGGTATAGGCAGCTTATCTTCTGGTTTGGTAACACATCTATATAAATAAAAATGATGGAGAAATGGTCTTATCATATCTATTTTTATAGTTGTGCATTATAAATTATAAAGAGACAATTTGCACTGGTTGGAAACACTATAGAAGCATATTTAAATGAGCAAAATACAAAATGGTTTTACAATTCTTTCCATTTTCAGAGACTTTAAGCTTGGATTTTTTTTCCAGATTAAACTAAAATTAAAATAGTAAATGGGATGATGTGAACATTCTCTGACAATATTGGTGCCAATATAAACTGGCACAGCTTTTGTGGAAATACATTATGACTATGTTCATTTTTAAAAATCTTAAAAATGTGTGCCCTCTTTGACCTAACACCACTTCAGTGGAAAGCAACATATTCATCAAGGACCTCAAAGGTGTACACATTATTAGAACTAGTATCCCAACTTCTAGAAATCCAACCTAAGAAAATCATCAGAGAAAAGTTTAAGATAAACAGAGATGTGTGAACTTCAATGTTATTTACGTTAGGAAGAAAACATAAACATTCTTAATGTCCAGTAAAATGGTAATTATTAAATAAATTTGAATACTTCCAATATGAAATATTACATAGTAAACATCATGTATTATGAAACTTAAATAAGGGGAAAATAATAAAAACAATAAATGTAATCAGGAGACAAACACTAGATAAATTTAAAATTTTTGTTTTGAAATAATTATTTTTATATCAAAAAAATAAAAGACTGAAAAGTAGCATACCATAATTTTAACAATGGTTATCTCCTGGCAGTGATTTTAAGGTTCTTTTTTATATTTTTTCAAAGACTCCCATGAACACACATTTCTATTATCAACAAGCAAAAATTATCAGCCACTTTAGTGCCTACCTTATGATGGCTTTGACTGCAAATCTGACCACCGTGGAGAGCAGGAACAGTGGCGTCACCAGGATATGGAAGAGAGACAATGAAGCAAAGGCTTCTGCAGGTTTCAGATTGTTTCCACTGGTATACGCATGGGTCACAAATGTCTGTGCAAAGAAAGGAGTTCTTTGGTGAAAGTTGAAGAAAGTTTCACACATGCATACATTCAGTCTTAGAAACCTAACACATTCTGCTATGGGAATATGTCCATTGCAACTATGCTAACAATGACTTCATCCAAAACTCCCTAATTAAAACAATATTTGCTTTTGGTGAATACTGAAAGGTTTACCTTCAATTATGATGGTAAACTTATGAGAAAGTTAGCAAAAATTCTACTTACAGATTAGGTAATTGACTCTGTCAGATTACTAAGTAGGGGGAATAACTGGGTGGAGAACCTAGAGTTTTCAACAGTCAAGCCCTTTCCAAGCAATACTAAATATTCCAGGGGAAAAAATAATGTTTTGTTGTTTGAGGGTCCTCACTGTGATTCTTTACTAAGACTGTCAGCATTGATATCCAAAGGATACTTATTTACATTTTTTTGGAGACAAGGTCTCACTGCATTGCCTAGGCTAGAGTGCAGTAGGGTGATCATGGCTCACTGCAGCCTCGACCTTGCCAGGCCCAGGTGATCCTCACACCTCAGCCTCCCAATTAGCTTGGAACTACAGGCATGCGCCACCATGCCCAGATAATTAAATTTCTACAAAAAATACCAGTTGCCAAGTTTGCCATTCTAGTATGAAACATAATGCAATTATTTAAGATTTTCTGGTTGTTGATCTAGCTCCATCTTGTTATAAGAGTGTCTGGAAACCAGGTCATTGAGATTAGAACAGTTAGTTCCCAGCCACTGTTCCTTTTGCTCCTAAGCGTACATTTGGTGATGTTTTGATTGTCATAACTGAGGTTCCTACTGGTACCTGGTAGCTAGAAGCCAGGGATGCGGCTAAACATTCTAACACAGAGGGCAGCCCCCTAGAACAAAAATCATTTGGATCAGAATGTCCATAATGTCTTCATTGAGAAACCCTGGATTAGAACTCTTGCAACTGAGACTGCAATAGAGGCTAAGTCACAGAGGTGAAGTAATATATATTACTACCCACACATTCTTGCTCATACATCATATATAATCACTGACTTGGTTTCATTTCTAAAGGCGAGAAAAAGTGTCTTACAGCAAGAACAGCTGCTATGGGAATTGCTGCATTCATGAAGACTGTGGAAAGAAATAATATGCATTAGTTTCACTGAACTGTGCAAACATTTTCAGAAATTTTAATTAATCATCTATTATTACTTAAACTTTCTTTGAAGACAGGAAGGACAAAGTGTATTAAATGTCATTTTGTCTGGAGACCATAAACATTTCCCAGTTAATATAGCCTTGTCTGCAGTTTTATGAGCTCCCATATGTTAGTCTTAACCAGTATCTGTTTTACTTTATTGAAATCTTTTCTTATGAAATGTTACAAACAAAAGAATTCACATAAAATCATCCTTCAGTGATACAAATTATTAGAATTTAACTAGTATGTATTCTAGAGAGGGGTTACAATCTATCTTTTGTTTAGTCCACTAAACTAATTTAAATGTGTGAAAATCAGGTTACTATACAGATTAAAAACAAGAATTTGACATCACTTCAAGTTCTCTTTCCAACTGTGATATTAATATTCATTTATGGCCCTTTCCTTTAATAAAAGAACTCCATATCCTGGACTCTCTGCATGGTTAAATATCACTCCTGGAATATATTTCACTATCATTGGATCAGCATGAGATGCCTAGCTGAAATAAGAAAAACTCACATTTTAGCCTGAAATGCTAGTATTTGGAAATAACAGTAAAAATTAAAGGCCCAGTTGATGATTTATAGTCACACAGTCATAAACTATAGAGTTTTAGGAACCGAGAGACCAAAGAATAAGTGAGTTGTTGGTAACGGAGCCCGGCAATGACAGAGTGAGAAGCTAGACTCTAATTTTCTTGACAGTAGATGGCTCAGGTCTTAAAAATCATCAGCTCTCAGGAATTATCCTTACCACTGCACATACAACAGAATCAGACTGTGCTTTTGCAAGTCCAGATATGACTTAGTTGTCAAAAATAGACTCTTGTGCAGTACTGTGAAACCAAACACTGATCTGAGTTTCATAATAACACAAGCGAGGAGCCACGTTTCTGCAACCTACTTTCTCTGACTATTGTCATCCTATTTTATTTTAAGTTCTGGGATACATGTGCAGGATGTTCAGGCTTGTTACAGAGATAAACATGTGCCATGGTGGTTTGCTACACCTATTAATCCCAGCATGCATTACCTACTATTCCAGAGTTTCTCCCTCCCTGCTGCCCTCCTTATAGGCCCCAATGTGTGTTGTTCCCCTCCCTATGTACATGTGTTCTCATTATTCAACTTCCACTTATAAGTCAGAAAGTGGTGTTTGGTTTTCTGTTCCTGTGTCAGTTTGCTGAGGATAATGGCTTCCACCTCCATCCATGTCCCTGCAAAGGACATAATCTCATTCCTTTTTATGGCTGCATAGTATTCTGTGGTATATATGTACCACATTTTCTTTATCCAGTCTATCATTGATGGACATTTGGGTTGATTCCATGTCTTTGCTATTGTGAATAGTGCTGCAATGAACATACGAATGCATTTATCTTTAAAAGAGAATGAGTTATATTCCTTTGGGTATATGCCAAGTAATGGGATTGCTGGGTCAAATGGTAACTTTTGTTCTAGCTTTTTAAGAAATCACCACACTGTCTTCCACAACTGTTGAACTAATTTGCATTCCCACCAACAGTGTAAAAGCATTTCTATTTCTCCACAGCCTCACCAACACCTGTTGTTTCTTGACTTCTTAAAAATTACCATTCTGACTAGCATGAGATGGTATCTCATTGTGGTTTTGATTTCCATTTCTCTAATAATCAGTAATGTTGAAATTTCTTTCATGTTTGTTAGCTGCATAAATGTCTTCCTTTGAGAAGTGTCTATTCATGTCCTTTGCCCACTTTTTAGGGTTTTTTTTCCTCATAAATATGTTTAAGTTCCTTGTAGATTCTGCATATTAGACACTTGTCAGATGGATAGATTGCAAAAATTTTCTCCCATTGTGTAGTTTGTTCACTCTGATGATAGTTTCTTTTGCTGTATTGTCACCTATTTTCTAAGTGTATTCTTTTAACCTGCTTTATATCAGAGGAGGATGAAGCACTTGACACAGCACCTCGGACAAAGTGTGCACTCAATAAACGTTTGTATTTTTCATTATCTTTTTAATCTTTACAATCCTACATGGTAGATATTATTACTATCCAGTGTTACAGATGAAGAAACTGAGGCTAGGAGGATATAAGTAATTTTCTCAAGACCACACTACTACAAAGTGTTAGAGCTAGGATTTACAGCCAGCTCTATTCGACTCACCACCAACAAGACTGCAGTGAAGAACATCATAAAAATTGAAGTGGTCAAACTGGAACTTTGCTCCGTTGACTCACGAATCCTAGCTCCCAATCATGAACACAGGATCATGCATTTTCCCCCTCATGACTTCTTATTGCTCTCCCCTGGTATAGCCTCCCTCTACCCTCTCTTTTCTCGTATTTGACTCAAATACCAACCCAACTCTCATCTCTACAGACAGACAAGCTGGATTCACATTTCACCTCAGCTGGATGATATGAAAGTACAAGTTACTTAAATTCTTTATACATCAATCTTTTAGTTTCTAAAGTGGAGTTAGGAATACAGTCTAGGCCAGGCATGGTGGCTCAGGCCTGTAATCCCAGGACTTTGGGAAGCCGAGGCGCTTGAGCTTAGCCATAGGAGGCTGCAGTGAGCTATGTTCATATCACTGCGCTCTGGCCTGGGTAATAAAGTGAGACCCTGTCTCAAAGAATATATAAAAATAAATAAATAATAGAATGAAAATCAATGGGCTGTTGTAATAATTAAATGAGATAGTATGTGAAAAACCACTTATGGCTAAGAGTGGTGGCTCATGCCTGTAATCCCAGTACTTTGGGAGGCTGAGGTGGGCAGATCATGAGGTCAGGAGTTTAAGACCAGCCTGGCTAATATGGTGAGATCCCGTCTCTACTGAAAAAAAAAAAATTAGCTGGGCATGGTGGCACATGCCTATAGTCCTAGCTACTCAGGAGGCTAAGGCAGAAGAATTGTTTGAACCCAGGAGGAGGTTGCAGTAAGCTGAGATCACGCCACTGCAAATCCAGCCTGAGTGACAGAGTGAGACTCCATCAAAAAAAAAAAGAAAAAGAAAAAGAAAAAAAAAAACCACTAATGGCAATAATTGTCCAAAGATACTGTCAATATATCTTTGTTGTTGTTGTTGTTATCATATTTCTGGCTGCCTCCAACATTCTCCTGAGAGTTTCAGTCCTTGAAGAGAAGGGCATATTGAAGGGGACACCAGCTTAGCGTAGTACAATATAAGCAAGTTAATCTCGATCATCCTGTCTTCTAGCATTTTGACAGCATGTTAGTGGTGCTTTGCTGGAAGACAAAACTCCTTCCAACTTCATTTTTAATGCCTCACGCATTTGGGCTAGAAGAAGAGGGCTATATAAACCAAATATTTTCTCTAAATCTATTTCACAAAAGAAATGTTTATAATCTCCAACCTTTAAAGGAGTTTATGATTCAAGAGGAAACAATATACAAACTTCCAAAAATTTAAGTTGTTAAAGGTCTTGGGAGCAACAAAGATGAGCAAAAGTGACACAGAAATAAAATCAAATCACACGTTAATAGGAATAGTTTTGCTAAGTTTGTGTAAATTTTACTAACATAAACCCTGTTATTGATGAGAATACTCAGAGTCATACTTTGAGGAAAAAAAAACAATATTTTTAAAGCAGTTGCTTTTAAAAGTTAGAGTTGAGGAAGAAAGAACTCTGTATTTAAAATTCTTGAAAGTATATTGAAAAGAAAGGGTTTTATGTGAATGAAATTTGGCTTCCTTCACCTGAAAATGATATTTTTTTCTCCTTGGTTTTAAAAAATGGCTATGTTTCTTGACAATCTTCAAGAAAATATCATATCATAAGCTCTCAAGGAGACAGGTTAAAAACAGCAAATATTTTTAACCCTTTTCCTCCTGTGTTCAAGCAATTCTCCTGCCTCAGCCTCCTGAGTAGCTGGGACTACTACCATTAGAAGTTAGAAGAAAAAAGTGCAGTTCACTACCATTACTCATTTATTTTTACATAAACGTGCCCTCTGAGGCTAAAGCAAATCTGTTTAATTTTTAATTTGAAAATAAAATGAAAAAGCCATTCTTGGAATTATTCCTAAACAGAAGTAACATGAGAATTGTCACAATCATCTGGATCACCTATTTAGGAAAAAATTGGATTCATCAAATGAATCTTCAGCCAACGCTGTTCAGGAAAGATGTTAACATCACACATAAGAATACTGTATTCTTTGGGAGGCCAAGGCGGTTGGATCACGAGGTCAAGAGATCAAGACCATCCTGGTCAACACAGTGAAACCCTGTCTCTACTAAAATACTGGGTATGGTGGCATGCACCTGTAGTCCCAGCTACTCAGGAGGCTGAGGCAGGAGAATTGCTTGAACACAAGAGGCGGAGGTTGCAGTGAGCCGAGATTGTGCCACTGCACTCCAGCCTGACGCCTGGTGACAGAGCGAGACTCTGCCTCAAAAAAAAAATAAAAATAAAAATAAATAAATAAAAAAAAAGAATGCTATGTTTTCTAGGATTTGACATTTTTAGTGATCGAGAGTTACTATATTTTGTAAATGGAAACACCACTACTAAAAACAGAATGCTACAAATAGAATAATGTCTTTTGTTTCCAAAGTCGATATCCTAGAGTGATACTAAATGATAATAAAAGCGAAATTTTTTGTGGCAAAGTTTTCTTGGGGTAAAAGCTATAGCCACGAGCCCCACCTGTGAATATTCTGAGATAAATGGGAAAAGAGTTAAAGGATCTTTGGGGATAAGAAGATCAATAGTAGTGTAGTCAAATCAATTTCAGTAAACAAATTTTTACTGAAAACCAACTACTTATCCTAATTGAACTGATATAAGGGTTTTATTTATAGTTATTATTATCATCATCTTCATTTTACTGATGAAGAAAACCAAGAATTTCAGTTTGTAGAGTAACATAGCCAAGAGCACACTAGTTGTGAGGAATCAAATTCAGGTCTACTTGACTCTAAACCTGTGCTTACTTTGGTCTTTAAATGTAAACAGATAGCCCCGTGTACCTGGTGGCTATTGGACAGCACGTGTTTAGGAAATAAATGGGTGTCCCTGAATGACTAGAAAGTTTCATTGATCACAATCTAAACTGAATAGACTATGGGTTTCTCTGGTTGCCCTTAATGTCACCTGTTCTCAGAGCAACAGCAACTTACTGGAGAGTGATGTATAAAGTGCAAAGGTTTTGAGACTAGATAGTTCTTTCATTCTTGTTTCCTCCACACTTTTGCAGAAAATGTGTTCCCAGGCATACAATTTTAGAAGTTTGATGCCTTTCAATATTTCATTTGTTTTCTTCAGTCTCTCAGTGGAATAATCCTATAAAACAAAGGAAGAAAAATAATACCAGCTGCATCCAAGTGAATCAGAAAGGCAGAACCATGTAATGGACAGGGATTAAGGAGATCTAGATGTTGGACTGGCCCTGCCACTCACTGACTAGGTTGTGAAATTCCAGGAGAAGCACTTAAACCCTTTGTGCTTCATGAAACAAAGAGTCTAATGAGATGGACTCAAAATGTCTTTCCACTTAAAAACACATATGTCTCTGTTGCTTAGGTTTACATAAAGGCTAAAAGCAATTTTCTAAAGTTTCACGTGATTTCCTTTAATCAGGTCTGCAGATAATACAGACATAAATTTAAACAACTAATAAGGAGACTTACAATGGCTCCTAACATCTAAGTCATTTTCTTCTCCCATCAACTTTACCATTCATACTTACAAGAAGAAAAACAAGAAATTTAAGAAAAGTCAGTGGGCTTCTTATTTGAAAATATGAGGGTACAGAGTTAAGTGCATTCCTATTGCATCTTCATAACACAGCTATTGAAATTAAGCCTATTATCTTAGCTATCAAGAAATTTCCACATACTTCTTTATAAGCTCTTTATTAAGGCCTAAGTTAGATTTACTAACAACTTGAAATAATTGTAGAGAGATTTGTAGCAGATACAAAAGCTTCAATTTAGCCAGCTGTTTCAGCTTCCTTCACCATGACATGTAATACTAGAATTACTAGCAAGGTACAATATGACCAATTAACTATCAAAAGGGGCAGTAGAGTGGTCAAAAGACAGATGGGAGAAAGCAGAAGTAGCGAACAACTTGGTTTTTGTTCAACTTTTGGTTTTTACAGAGTCTTAAATGCCTATCAAGTGATTGTTCAATGAGTGAATGAATATGGTATGAATAGCTAAACAAAAGACAGATGTTTGGGAATCATCCTCTTCCACACCTTTCTGTACTTGTGTGTTGGAGTCAAAAGGATAGATGGTTCAGACAGAAATAATGAGTAACCTACCCAAAGCAGCAGAAAAACAAGCGATAAAAACCATTTGCATCACATGCAACTTGCTTGTCATAGTGGAAACACAAATGAGAAACAATCCCGTCAGTGGTAGCATCTCCACATTTTATGCCTGATTTACAGACAGCCTTGCTCATATTTAATCAAGCTTTATTTGTAAACATGCTGTCAACAATTTTATTATTTGCAAATATTTCTCTAAAAGCAGGACATTTGTGCTCAAATAAAATAATTTCATGGCAAATTGAAGCCAGAAAAGGTCAATAATTGGGCTTTTTCTTGCTTGCCGAGTTGACCAGAAACATTTTCAGCAAGAGCAGCTGCCACTGAAACATGTCAGTGTGACTCCATAGATCCTCACATGGTTTGAGTCTACCTTAGAACAATATAATTTCAGAAGCAGCAAACTTGACCCTTCAGTTGTACCTCGATCAATTTCTTGCATGTCAATAACTAACATTCAATAGAGTCAAAGTATGCTTAAGAAGATTCTTTAGACAAGTGATCTAAGAAGACTGAAAGCTTCATCACCTCATGGTACTTTCATACATCAGGAACTGTGATTCTAGTATTTTGAATCTACAGTCATCAAGTTTTAAATTTCCAATCCACTTTTAAAAATTGATTTTGCAACATGGAAAATCCACATTTGCTGCTGAAGAACTGAAGTGAAATAGAATTGTTTCCAAACTATCCTGAGTGGTATGCATTAATTTCCTATACTATTAAATTAAAATAGCATGTCTCAATTTTTCTAATTAAGTTTCCAAAAGATGTTACTTACAAGTGTACTTTTCTGAGCCTCTGCCAACTTTGTAGCAATGAAGTACTGAATTGGTGCAAGGAGCACAATGACAGCTGCACCAACCAATGCACTTGATCCAAGTAAATTATAGAGTAGAATCACTCCCATTATGATCTAGAGAGAAAAACACATGGAGAAGGGAAAATGAATGGGGGTGTGGGAGCCATTGCATGAAAAGATATAATGTTTCATGCAAATATAGTATTTCCTAATTATCATATTAAGTTTATTTGGAAGTCAACTGTATTAGTCAGGGTTCTCTAGAGGGACAGAACTAACCATCAAGTCAACCCAACTGTGATAGTTGGGTTTTGCTATGAGTTATTTGGGGAAAGTTAAGTGCTAGGAATGTACTTTTAGTATTACAATCTGTACAACTGGTGTCAAACCAATTTATTGCATGAAGTTGCAAAGTGGTCCCAAGATGCTTCTGACCTTCTAAAGCAGTCGTCAGATTTTTTAAAGGGCATACAATTTTTCTTGAAAATGCTGCCACTCACCATAAATTTGACATTCTATATTCTCTTGGAATTGTAATAGCTTTCAAGGCTGAGAGGATGGAAAGTAGCAAGCAGCATAATGTGAGTAGAGGATGGTTGTCTGCTGAGCTCCTCACCTCCTTATGACTCCAGATGCCACTTAATGACAAGAAGGCTGGCGCTAACTAAAACTGTTAAAAAGCTAAAGTTGGTGCCCTATTTTAACATACTTCTCTTTAAAGTTATTTCCTGAAAACCAGGGCAAAACCATTCAGACCCATCCTCTCTGGTTTGTCACTGTCTTCTTTTTCTTTTAAAAACTCAGAATTTAACCTTGCTATCCTATCTTCTCTTTCTGAGATATATATTTTCGCTCAGCAGTTCAATTTATCATCTAATCAAAATATCAATGAATGAACTGTATCCAAGCAATCCAAGTATATAATTTATGCCTCTATGTGAATGATATTATTAATAGCAACTTCTTGGGGCAATGACATATTTACTGCCTAACTAATTACGTAGTTTGGAAAATCCAACGAACACAAAAATTTCCTTAAGATCACCCATGATGCAGTAATTCAGAGATTTTTGGTGCACTTGAAATTATACTACCTAGGCAGCTACCTAGTTTGCCTTTCTATAAGAACATTTTTGTAAAATGAGACAAAGTGTATCTTAAATCTTACTTTGTGCCAAGCACTGTTCATAATATATACTTTTATTTGCCTTGGTTTTCCATTTAAAAATGAAAAGGCAAACAATAAATTAAAAACTAGCATCTTGTTTATTACTTTTGCACTTTAATAAATGTGGGACACAGGGACTTAGATGATAGATTGTATCAAATAAGATCTAGAGATTAAGCTTCATCTACATAATGCAAAGCTTAAGATAATTTAAAATGTCCAGCTTATACAGAGGAAAAAACTGAATATATTTCTTTTGCCATTTTTATCCAGTAAGGGGAACAAGAAAACACGTGTCTTTACTAAAATGTTACTTTACATAGAAAATAGCTAAATAGCACTCCAGTTTTTCACTGTTCCTACCAGTTTATACAGTTTAACATGTTGCAATATACTAGCTATTGAAACTATAGGATGGATTAAAGCAATTGCTCTCTTTTATAAATGCTATGAAATAGCTTACCAAAATGAAAGGGGTCAAACTGTGGCTCTGCGACTTTCATAAATCAAGGCAATAATACTAACAACTAACAATTATTGGATGCCCAGGAAATGCTGGGCACTATGCTAGATGTTATAGACATATTAATCTATTTAACCTTGACAATTCTCCACTACTTTATGACAAAGATAGTATTCAGTTTGCAGTTAAGAAAACTAGGGCTTTGGGGAGTTAAGCAGTTGTGTAAATGAGGGGTACAGCAGATATTTGAACCCAAGCAGTATAATTTGAAAGTCCTCTTTCTTAACCTATGCTATAACGCTTATGAGTCTCAGCTTCCTTTTCTATAAAAGAGTGTAATTTCTAGGTCCTTGAGGAATCGCCACACTGTCCTCCACAATGGTTGAACTAATTTACACTCCCACCAGCAGTGTAAAAGTGTTCCTATTTCTCCACATCCTCTCCAGCATCTGTTGTCTCCAGATTTTTTAATGATAGCCATTCTAACTGCCGTGAGATGGTATCTCAATGTAGTTTTGATTTGCATTTCTCTAATGACCAGTGATGATGAGCATTTTTTCATGTTTCTTGGCCTCATGTATATCTTCTTTTGTAAAGGGTCTGTTCATATCCTTTGCCCACTTTTGAATGGGCTTGTTTTTTCTTGTAAATCTGTTTTAGCTCTTTGTAAATTCTGGATATCAGCCCTTTGTCAGATGGGTAAACTGCAAAAATTTTTTCCCATTCTGTTGGTTGTCGATTCACTCTATTGACTGTTTCTTTTGCTGTGCAGAAGCTGTGGAGTTTGATTAGGTCTCATTTGTCTATTTTGGCTTTTGTTGCCAATGCTGCTGGTGTTTTGGTCATGAAGTCCTTGCCTACTCCTATGTCCTGAATGGTTTTGCCTAAATTTTCTTCTAGGGTTTTTATGGTGTTAGGTCTTATGTTTAAGTCTTTAATCCATATGGAGTTAATTTTAGTGTAAGATGTCAAGAAGGGGTCCAGTTTCTGCTTCCATTTGACCCAGCAATCCCATTACTGGGTATATATCCAGAGGATTGTAAATCGTTCTACTATAAGGACACATGCACACAAATGTTCATTGCAGCACTGTTTACAATAGCAAAGACCTGGAACCAACCCAAATGCCCATCAATGATAGACTGGACAGGGAAAATGTGGCACATATACTCCATGGAATATTATGCAGCCATCAAAAACGATGAGTTTGTGTCCTTTGTAGGGACATGGATGAACCTGGAGAACATCATTCTCAGCAAACTGACACAAGAATAGAAAATGAAATACTGCATCTTGTCACTCATAGGTGGGTGTTGAACAATGAGAACGCATGGACACAGGGAGGGGAGTACTACACACTGGAGTCTATTGTGGGGAATAGGAGAGGGACAGCGGGGTGTGGGGATTTGGGGAGAGATAGCATGGGAAGAAATGCCAGATACAGGTGAAGGGGAGAAAGGCAGCAAATCACACTGCCACGTGTGTACCTATGCAACTATCTTGCATGTTCTTCACATGTACCCCAAAACCTAAAATGCAATAAAAAAAGAGTGTAATATTTGCACATTCAAACACTATGCACCTTTTACGGAGCTAAATATTTTACCGCTCTTTGTGTTTTATTTCCTCTGCAAACAAAAATCTTACTTATATTGATTTACTTACCTGAACAGGCATAGCCCATAGATTGGGACACAGGAACAAAAACCACATGAGTTGATTAGTTTCAATGGCAACTAAGTTGTTGATCTGCCCTAGAGTCATCTCCCCCATGGATAAGTTAGATGTAGAGAGCCTAAGAATTTTATTGTAAATCATAGCCTACAAAAAAAAAGATGGAGAAGGAGAATACATAAAGCTCTAAACTTAAAATTGACACTATAACAAATATTTATTTTTTTTGGGAAAAAAAAAAAGAACAATTCTATAAGGTCATCTTCTTAAATCAACCAGTACAGTTTCTTTATCTTTCTTCCTTCCTTCCTTCCTTTCTTTTTCTTCTTTCTTTTCTTTCTTTTTCTTTCCTTTCTCTCTCTCTCTCTCTTTCTTTCTGACTTTCTGTCATCTGTCTTTCTTTCTATCTTTTTTCAGTGGAGTCTCACTCTGTCACCCAGGCTGGAGTACAGTGGCACAATCTCGGCTCACTACAACCTCCACTTCTCAGGTTCAAATGATTCTCCTGCCTCAGCCTCCCGAGTAGCTGGGATTACAGGCATGTGCCACCATGCCTAGCTAATTTTTTGTATTTTTAGTAGAGATGGGGTTTCACTGTCTTAGCTAGGATGGTCTTGATCTTCTGACCTCATGATCTGCCCGCCTTGGCCTCCCAAAGTGCTGGAATTACAAGTGTGAGCCTTCACGCTCGGCCCAGTACAGTTATTTCTGTTTCAGTATAGTTGTTTTTAGTCCTCAACCAAAAACAGACTTTTTTTTCTAGTGATATAATGAAAAGATGCATTAAACTTTAAGCCTGAGCTCTGGAACAAACAAATAAACCCATAAAATCCCCAAGTAAATGTAAAATTTCAAAAATGTTTTTCTTAATGTGTTAAAGTTATTTTTAATTCAACAGGTTTATTAAATAGCTCTGTTTCTTTCATTAAGTAGACTATAGAAATTTTGTTATTATAATACCAAAAGGAAAGTGGAATGAAAAAACAAAACTGAAGCTACTACTATTCTTATTACTGAAAGGTATACAGCATTCTTAAGAAACAAAGATTATTCACAGCCTTTACATACCAGCAGAGCTCCACGGAGGTTAATGCCAGTCTCTATGGTTACATAGTAGGAAGCCTGCAAAAATGTCCTTTGCAAAATAAGAGCCAAGAAGAGAAGAACTGCTAGAACGTAAGCATTTTCAAGAAATTCCTTTGATGAGAGGGTATCTGAATTCTTTCCCAAAAGAAAAAAGTGACAAATTAAAACTCATCTTTTGATAGACCAGGTGTTCAGTTTGCACTTATTAAAAGATACATAGTATATTTAAATATAAAAACTCAATGTATTTAGAATACAACAGTGAAATGAGCTACAGAAAGGCAATTTTGGCTTATATAAACATAAACCAGGTAAACCCATAAAATCCCCAAGCTGATTAATGAGTGATAGAAATGCCTAATTGAAGGAAAAAAAGGTAAAATTTATTTAAAAAAAAATTAGAGTGCATTTCCTGCAAAAGTATATCACCCCTTAGTAAAACAGTAAGCAATAAATAAAAAAACAAGTTACTTTACCCTCTAATTTGAAAGTAGAAGCTAGAAAATTGATAGCAGGTCAGCAAGACCAATGGGGAAAAAATACAATTTTGGTAGCCTTATTAGTTTAAAATAATTTTGCCCAGTTGACTTTTTCTGATTTCCTATATCTTAATTTATACTAATAAAATAATAAATTATAAAATAGGTAATTTGGCTATATTTCCAGTAACATGCAATACTTCCAGTAACAAAACATGACTTACAAAATTTTTAGTAGGAATATGACTGAACTCAGCATAACGATATCCAAAATTGATTTTTGTTTGTAACAATAGCATACGGTAACTTGTTTGTTAGTAAAGAAGAAAAGAACATTTGACTAAGTACTTTATGTCAATTTGGACATTCTTTATTTTCTATGATTCAGATCTAGTAGAATTCTACTTCTGGTCCCTTCCTCTTCTTTTGTGGAAATATACACAAATGTGCAAGTCCCATTTGTTCTCAGCAAAACATATGGCTTACCTGTCCAAAAGAGAAGGGTAATGGATAAACTCTTACATGAAATTTAGGTATCTGTATGTAATTAGGCTAGCAGGGACAAAACATTACCAAAGTGTATTCAATGGTGAAAATATCTGGTTATTTCAATTATAAATGAACATTAATGTGTGCAAGGATCTGGGCTAAGCATTGTGAACACAAATATGAATGGCTCACCATAATTGTTTCATAAACTTACAACTAGGAAGATAAGCATATCTCTAAGTAATAGGCTTCAGTAAGTGCCAACATAAAGTAAAGAGTGTGTTAAGGGACTCTCAAGGAGAGTCAAATTTCAACTAGGACGATCAGAAAAAGCTTCACTGAAGAGGCGATATTTAACTTCAGCTCTTAAACTGCCTAACACTTTAATAGGTGATATAAAGAGGACAGGAAATCAGATTGAGAGAATAGAAAATGAGAATGGATTCATTTGGAAATAGTTTCTACCTGTGGAACCAGGGCAATTAATACTTATCTTAGAAAGAAACTAGGAAGTTTACAATGCAGTCTAATAAAAATAGAAAATAAAAGATTATATATTTATAATAGTAAACATACAGTATTTTATATGATATAGCCCCAATATAATAACATAATACCTAGTAAAATATAATAATATTACTTGCCCTGATCATTGTGAAGTAGGGTGATGGTTTTTATTACATAAGAAAAGAGAAATGTACAATATTACAAATCACATTGCTAGTATTATTGGTCACTAGCCACCCCTCATACATAAAAGTGACTCAGCCACCCCTCATACATACAAATTATTTAAAGGATTGCTATAAACATTAAATAAAACAATCAATGTATAATTTCTACACAAACTTTCTGGTACACAGTAAATGCTTGTTAAATGTTATAGGCTCTGAATCTCAGGAATAATTTTGTTGGCCAGATTCATTCAATGAATACATAAACGGGATTTTTTTTTCTAAAAGGAAAACTACTGTTTTCTTTCTTTTAAAAAAACATTTAATTATCTGAAAAAATAAAAGCCTATTTGAATGCTCATAAAACTGCATTAATAAAAAGTGACAATTACAATGAAATCTGCCAATAATATGTTTCCTTTGAAAAGCACCAGGAACTTACTCCAGTTGTGTTACTTGTCCCATTCTGGGTTTCATTCACACGCTGAACTATTCCAGAAATACAAAGAGGTCCAGCAAAACCCAGTAAGTCAGCCAGATAGCGGAATGTGCTACTAAGTAGAATTGGTCGCCCAAAAGCTCTGTACATTGCAAGCCATATAGATGGAGTCCTATTTGGATGATCTGCAACTTTTTTCTGGGGGAAAAAAAAACAAAAACAAACCAAAAAACTGTTGGAACAAAATAAAACTGCTTAGAGTAGTAACTAATCTCAACTATGGAAATTCCTTCTTACTAAGGGTTTAAAAATAGACGTTAATGAGTGCCTTTCAACATAGTATCCATAATTCTGTATCCTTGCCTTCTATGCAAATAGTAGCTACTGAATGCATTTTAATGAAATAGAGAGAACGAGAAGTAAACAGGACAATTTTTCGAAGACTCTATACTTTTTTTTTAATGAAAGGATGACACAGGATTCTTAAAACGTAATTCATTTTTAATTTTCTTTGATTTGGAAAATGTATATTTGTCATGAAAATTGCCAAATAACATTGCATATAGCAGGCATAAGAGTAAAGCATTAAGATCAAGGTTATAGGCAGACTGGTCAAGATTTTTGGAGTTACTAGAACACAACAGGTTTGCCTGTCCAATGATTATAAACTAAACAAAACAGATTATTCCAACTTCAACTGTTTTCTCCTCCATGGTGTTTCTTATCTTCATGAATGGTAGTCAATACATTAAAAAATTATGGCAGACTTGTGTTTTCTAGTATTCCTCGAATAAATGCAAAATGAAGAACAGCATTTATTCTTAAGTCGAGTCATGGCTTCACACAGCTACAGTTGTTTGTTGTAAAGATTTTAAGACCTAAGCAATCATCATAATTAAAACTTAGGCAAGAGGTAAATAAAGTTTTTTCATTGTGGCAAGGAAGTCAACTCACTGGAATAGAGCTCAATTATGTTCCCTATCTGTTAAAATAAACAATTTGTTTTCCAAAGTTTATGTAGACATTAACACATCAAGTTCAAGATAATCTCTGTTGTAAAGAGAACTCAGAAAAATTAAGCTATGCTTAGGCTAGACTGCAAACATCTTTACTTTAGCAGTTTTAAAAATTTTATGCAATACTTTTCCCAGAGGTGAAACCAGAGAAATGACTAAGGTTCATTTTAGTAACCTTTTCCTGCCATTTAATTTCATAACACGTATTTCTGACACAAAACAGATTATGTTCGTCATTTACCATAAATGCTTTGTTGATCCTGATTTAGAACAGCCAAAACTCGTTAGCTGTTTTATCATACTCTATTTCCTTCCAGTATTGTTGGGAATCCTAATATTTTAAATGGCAATGGTATTTGTAGATTATTGCAACAGAAAACACATCTACCATTGAGGGTAGCATGTATGACTATTTAGAATGATAAAAGATAAAATGAAAATATCCAAAGACTCTCATCTTGAAATTTTTTAAAACAATAATAAACACGTAGGAAAAGTGCCAGAGGAAACCAATTTTGGCAGCCATATAGGATGATACATGGAATAGGCAGACAATGTCCTTTTATTTAATTTAGTCTCCCATTTTGAACTATAGAAGCTAAATTTTAGTCAATAATTAACACAAGGCTTTAAATTTCCTAAAATTGATTATTGGTAGGTATCTATTTTACCTCTTTATATAACAAACTTTTTATGCTTGTAAAAAGACAATAACAAAAATTTAATTAGTTATGAATATTATATGGTAATGGATTACCATATATGAGCATTGAACTTAATTTTTACTTTCCACTTAGTGACGTATCCCAGAGAAAAGACAGTACTCACTCTATCCTTCCTCATCTATTAATGGGGCAACTAATATAAGTACGCTTCATTGGCTCTTCCAATATTCCAGGTCCAATTAACATGATTCAAAACTACAGAGGAAGAAAAATGAAGGAAAGCTACTCTTCCTTAACTATACATATGAATTAAGCTTTGTGTCCATATATTTAATAGGAACATTCTCTCTTATTAAGCACATGGATGACAGATACTAAATTACCTTTTGTTCTTCATATGCATCTTTTAGGCAAACATAATTTGTTACTGCTCTCATTGCTATTGGCAATTTTCCAATTGCCTTCAGATCAATAGGCTTTTTATGAGCAGATATAATAAGTGTGTTCATCCACCAGTATGTTGCTTTTGACAGCAAATTCACAAATGGTTGAAGAAATCTCACTCCCAGATCCTGGAGGTCTTCAGGAGGCTTTACTTTCTGAGGATTCATGAAGAACACATATCTCTGTGGCAAGAAAAATTCCACAGCATGACAATTAGTCCAGTTATTTTCAACATATTACAAATAAAATTTTGACCTTTTCTACATTTTCATATCAGGTGACCAAAATTTATACTTTAATGACTCTCCCCATCCCTTTCTGAAATATTCTTTGAGATATTTTCTTCTGTTGTGACTTGATTAGCTATTTAATGCCAGAATTTTGCATTTAATTTTCTTGGGTTCAATTCTAAAAGATCAGTTAACCTTTTAAAGATAGTTTTTATTAAGTCAATGTTTCATGACATCCTATGATAGGGTCAACCACATGAGGGCTTTTACATTGTTTAGATTTAAAAATGTGTCATCAAGACTATTATTGAGTCACTATTGATCTGTGGCTTGCTGATGTTAACTGACTAGTCTCTGCATTAATTGCAGCATGTATCTTTCTACTCACAGATCAAGTTCAAAGTTCTCTGATAAAAAATGAATACTGGAAAATCTATCTCTGGTATCTCACACAACATAATGGACAGCATTAAGTGGTAGAAAGTACAATCAATATGGAATTACAAACCAGGTATGTGTCTTGACCATATTACTTTGGATATATAGCCAAAGCTATCTCTGTATGTTTCTTCATCAGTGAAATGAGCAAACTGGATTAGATTATTTTCTTTTCAGTTTTAAATTTCTAATAATGCAATATTTTGCTTAACTTAGGTATGCTTGATACCAATCATGGAAGATGGAACATTCTCCTAAAAATAATTTCTTCTGTAATATAAACTGAGCATAATATCTGATATATAGCAGGCACTCAATCAATCTCTATTTGTGAACAAATAAATAGTTTCTAGAGTCACACCGAGAATTCTGAAACATTAATTTCCTGTACTTAGTGATTAGTTCAGCTTTATATATATAAATCAAATGCATTTGTTCATCTTTCTAAATACTAATTATTTCTGGCTAACGGTAATCTTTCACACTGGGGTCTTGAATCCAAGTAACTAAACAAAAACCATTAGCTGCCTACCCTGACGCGAATGACGTTGATCTCCACAGCCATCAAGAGCCCATTCAAGATGACCATCATGCCTGTGATGCAGAAACGCAGGTCTGATATGCCCAAACCAGATTGACAGTACTTAACCAATTTTATTGTTTTTGTAATAAAGGCCATTACCCAATACAGGAATAGGGCTGAAAAGAAAAAGACAAAAAGAGAAAGATACAATCTTTTCTTAAACTTCACTAGCATTTGAATATAATTATGATGCTTTTTAATAACAAAAGCAATTTTATGTACTGTATTTCCACATGGTTTCACTTGGCAAGAAAACAATATATATGATTTAGTGTACTTCTGGAGTTTTGAATTGTAGGAGTAATAACTTTAAAATGTTGAGTGCTTCCACTCTGCCCATAAATGATAGATGGGAGGATGTAAGGAGATACATAATAGGATATTCTAGACTCTTCAAAATGTATGTCTAAGTCTATAAATTTTAAAAAGTGGCTTCATATCTTCTGGTCTTGTTTCCAAAGAGCCTTGATGATATGAACAATTCACAAGTTATTATCTGTATAACCCACTTCATAGGTATATTGCAAACCCAAGGATATGTCTCATGGTATTACCCTGGAATTATCATGGAATTCATGTATCTATGTAATTGAGTTTCTGCCTTACAGATTCTTATTCAAGTTGTAAGTGACTTTTCTTAGCCAAATGGTTTAAAACACCATGCCCATTCACATAGCACAAAGAACAATGATCATCCAGAGCAACTGAGACTTCAAGTACTTGGGCCAGAAAGGTGAGGATTACACTGCCTTAGAACCACAACCAGCATTTTGCAGCAAATACTTTCTGCAAATGAGGTAGAAGCAATGACTTTCTTAGAAATATTTTGGCAAGTATACAATCTACTTTTAACTTTGAATAAACGTCAGTACAAATAAATATGGTCTAAGAAAGAAGAAATCTAAGACACATGTAAGGCTATCCAGCTTGGACCACATGTGTCAGAACCAGAAAAGTTGAGTGATCACTTCATTAGTGAAAAATAACTGAACATTGGCATATGAACTCAACATAGTTCTTGTTTTAGCTTAAATATATGGTCAGAATGGATTTATTTAAAAAAGACCAAATTATATGCTATCTAAAGAGAGTCACCTTAAGTATTAGAAAGAGTAGATTAAAAATAAGTACAATGAAAATATATACATGAAGACAAGCATAAGAAACTTGGAGTGGCTATATTAATATCAAACATAGCAAACTTCAAGACAATTATTACCAGAAACAAAAAGACTTTTAATAATAATTAGTCCATTTTGTAGAAAAATACAACAATAAAATATGCATATGCCCAATAAAGATTTAGAAGATCTATTAGAACACTGTCAAACCTCGTTTGATATTTATAGAACTATTTGAGATTTGGTACTCTAAAATTACATCTAACATCTTCAGATTTTACCTTCTTATTAACTGTATACAGTACTGGTATAGATTATATGTTTATTCAGAAAATAAAGAGTAAAGAATTTGAAATGGGCCGGGCTCAGTGGCTCAAGCCTGTAATCCCAGCACTTTGGGAGGCCGAGGACGGTGGATCACGAGGTCAACAGATCGAGACCATCCTGGTCAACATGGTGAAACCCCGTCTCTACTAAAAATACAAAAAATTAGCTGGGCATGGTGGTGCATTCCTGTAATCCCAGCTACTCAGGAGGCTGAGGCAGGAGAATTGCCTGAACCCAGGAGGTGGAGGTTGCAGTGAGCTGAGATTGCGCCATTGCACTCCAGCCTGGGTAACAAGAGCGAAACTCTGTCTCAAAAAAAAAAAAAAAAATAGAAATCATATAGAGTAGATATTCTGACCACAATAAAACTAAATTAAAAAATCAGTTCTTCACAACAGACTATTGATTTTCTATTGCTACTTAACAAACTACAACAAACTGAATAGGTTAAAACTGCACACATTTATTATCTCACAGTGTCTAGGATTCAGGACTTTGAGCCAGGGTCAACTGGGTTCTCTATTCCAGGTTCTCACCAGACTAGGTTCTCTGCTCCAGGTTCTCACCAGGTTCTAGGTATTGGCTGGGACTGCTGGCTCAACACAGGCTCTACTGATTTGAGACCTTCCTCCATGCCATACTTTATGGCTAGAACCTAGGCACAGGTCCTACTCACACTCGAGGTGAGACAGTAACAAAGGGCATGAACATCAGGCACAGAGATAATGGAAGTAACTTTTGATCTTTTCATGTGGTAAGATATCTAAAAGCTTCTAAATATCTGGAAATTAAACAATAGTTACTAATAATCCACATGTTAAAGAAGAAATCACTAAAGAAGTCAGATAATATTAAAATATATTAACTATATTATAATAAAAATATTACATGTTTAAAATTCAAGAAGTACAACGAAAATGAGACTCAGAGGAAAATTTATAGCTTTAGATATTTATTTTACAATATAAGGTTCAAAACTCCATATTTATCTTAAAAGCTCAGGAAAAAAAAAAAGGACCAAAAAAAGAATGAAAACAATAGAGTAGAAAACAATAAAATAGAAAAATGAACAATTGATAAAATGAACAAACTCAATAATGCCATTCTTAGAAAAAACTAATAAAATTGATAAGCTAGACAGTTCAAGAAAAGAACACAAAAACCAATATTAGGAATGAAAGAGGCACTATCCTTACATACCCTACATACTTTAAAAGGAGAATCAGAAAATATCATGAATAACTTATGACAATATATCCAAAAACTTACATGAGATGGAAAATTACTTAAAAATGTAACTTATCAAAACGAACATAAAAAGAAATAGATACTCTGAAAAGCCTATATAGTCACTAAGAAAGTTAGATGATACATTAACTAAATTCTAAAATTTAGATATAAAATTTTATTGGATATAACACTGTGTAATACAGAAATAAACTCATAATTTTAAATCCTCCATTAGTCCAAACTCCAGGTCCCTATGACTTCACTAGTGATTTCTATTCAACATTTAGGAAAGAGATAAAATTAACCTTATACAAAGTTTTTCAGAAAATAGAGAGAAAACATTTTCCAATTCATTTTATGGAAGCTGTTTAATACAGAATGTATAAGCCTGAAAAAGATATTACAAGAAAATAACAGATAAACATCCTTCACTACATAGATGTAAAACACCTTCACAAATAAAATCTAGTAATATCAAGCATGCATAATATATTATGACTATGTGTGGTTCATCCCCGAAATGCACTGGGACTTTATTTGAAAAATAGATCAATGCAATTTAGTACACTATCAGAAATGCAATTTTCCTAATGGATACAGGAAAAAAACTTTAGGAAAATTAAACACACATTCAAGACTTTAAACACCCTGAGTAAGCTTTAAATAAAAGAAAACTTACTGGGCAAATAAAGGTTCACTATGCAAAACATATAACTAACATTACAATTAATTATGAAAGACTGACCATTTTTTTCCCTAAAATCAGGAAGCAGACAGGATTTCAGTCCTATGCCTATTTGGCATTTTACTGGACATCTAGCTACAGCAATATGACAAGAATAAAAGAAAAAAGAAAGCATAAAAAAGGTTGAAAAAAACTAAGTGTCTCTATTTGCAGATGGCATGTTTGTTTATATAGAAAATCTTAAGTAACCTAAAAAGAAATAACTAAAAGTAATAAGTGAGTTTCTAAGGCTGTAAGATACAAAAAAATGAAAAGCCCTTTCTCTAAGATCAAAAACAAAATAAGAATGCCCACTTTCACCACTGCTATTAAATTTAGTACTAGAAGTCTTAGCTAGAGCAGTCAGATAATACGAAATAAAGAACATCCAGATTGGAAACAAAGAAGTAAAATTTCTTGTTTGCAAATGATAGCCAAGACCATCCTAAGCAAAAAGAACAAAGCCGGAGACATCACACTACTTGATTTCAAACTATACTACAACACTAGAGTAATCAAAACAGCATGGTACTGGTACCAAAACAGAGATACACACCAATGGAACAGAACAGAGGCATTGGAGGCAATGCCACACATCTACAACCATCTGATCTTTGACAAACCTGACAAAAACAAGCAATGGGGAAAGGATTCCCAGTTTAATAATTGGTGTTGGGAAAAGTGGCCAGCAGTGTGCAGAAAGCAGAAACTGGACCCCTTCCTGAAACCTTACACTAAAATTAACTCCAGACAGATTTAGGACTTAAACATAAGACATAACACCATAAAAACCCTAGAAGAAAACCTAGGCAAAACCATTCAGGACATAGGCATAGGCAAGGACTTCGTGACTAAAACACACAAAGCATTGACAACAAAAGCCAAAACAGACAAATGGGATCTAATTAAACTCCAGAGCTTCTGCAGAGCAAAAGAAACAATCATTAGAGTGAAACTGCAACCAACAGAATGGGAGGAAATTTTTGCAATCTACCCATCTGACAAAGGGCTAATATCAAGAATCTACAAAGAACTGAAACAGATTTACAAGAAGAAAACAAACAAACCCATCCAAAAGTGGGAGAAGGATATGAACAGACACTTTTCTTTTTTTTTTTTTTTTTTAAATTTTTTATTGGATTATAGGTTTTGGGGTACATGAGCAGAGCATGCAAGACAGTTGCGCAGGTACACACATGGCAGTGTGCTTTCTTTTCTTCTCCCCTTCACCCACATTTGGCTTTTCTCTCCAGGCTATCCCTCCCCACCTCCCCCTCCCACTGGCCCTCCCCTTTCCCCCCAATAGACCCCAGTGTTTAGTACTCCCCTTTCTGTGTCCATGTGTTCTCATTTTTCATCACCCGCCTATGAGTGAGAATATGCGGTGTTTCATTTTCTGTTCTTGTGTCAGTTTGCTGAGGATGATGTTCTCCAGATTCATCCATGTCCCTACAAACGACACAAACTCATCATTTCTGATTGCTGCATAATATTCCATGGTGTATATGTGCCACATTTTTCCAATCCAGTCTATTATCAATGGGCATTTGGGTTGATTCCAGGTCTTTGCTATTGTAAACAGTGCTGCAATGAACATTCGTGTACATGTGTCCTTATAGTAGAACGATTTATAGTCTTTTGGATATATACCCAGTAATGGGATTGCTGGGTCAAATGGAATTTCTATTTCTAAGGCCTTGAGGAATCACCACAC